CCTACCTTTATGTGCACATCTGTCTGCTCACACTTGTACACACAGCAATGAAAGGGAGTTTCCCAGCCAAGCAGAGCTGTCTGGCTTTTATGGCTTCTGCCCTTGAGTGTGCAAAACGTCTGGGTTGCGAGTTGATGCTGGAAAAATGCATCTGTCATCTTCTGCAGGTAAAGCTGGGGGCAGTGGAGCAGGGGTACGAAACAGCTATTTCCCTGTGATGTGGTGGGAGCTAGAGAAACATAGGCTCAGGCAGCAAGAAAGGATGCTAGCACTGACAGAAAGACGGGGAAGTGTGGGGTCTGTCGGTCCTGCAGTTGCCAGCCTTGGAATCGTGGTTTGTGCTTTAAAAATTGTCCATGTCCTCCATCTATCCCAAATTCTCCCTGTGATACTCCCTTTCCTAATGTATTTGCTTCCTCCCCACAAGCTCTTGTGATTTCTGTGTTAGAGCCACACAGAGCCAAGACGTGCCCCTGGGATCTCAGGTCTGGATTTCAAATAGGTTTTGTTTCATCTTCACATCTCAGCCACTATATAGTGAAATCGTCAGTCCATGGGACCCAGGAGGTCAGAGCAGAGCTGCAGCACGTCAGCCACAGTGGCCTGAGCCGTGTGCCTTCCCAGGACTTCTGGGGACATGGGGATGATGGGCCAAGAGGAATGAGATTTTTTATATCTGTCTAAGAAGGATCAACAGTAGGGAAATCACGAGTTCATTGACATGAGAACAAAAATGAAAATTAGGTGATGACTGGAGAGAAGGTGCTCTCAGTAATCATCAGCATGGAAAATTAAGAGAAGATACTTAGGAATGATGGAGGCCTTGCAAAAGAGGAAGAAAAGGAAAAGGTGGGAAAGCTTGCAACAGGTCATCAAAAGCAGATGGATTCCTGTATGTGGGTAAGCAACTTCACTAGCTGGGTGAGTGACCACGTGCAACCAAGAGCAGCCTTCACCCTCTGCAGGGGCCTCTCACACAACAGATCACAACTCCAACCTCAAAACAGGTGGACCAAAACTAACGGCATATCTCTGGTCAGGCCTTCCAGGGAGGGAAGTCTGTCATGAGATGGCTCAGGACTTTAAAAAAGGGATTTGACCAAGTCTGTGGTTGAATGGTGTGGAGTAATTGCTGGAGGGGACTTATTGATGACTTATGATATGCCCATCTCTTAAGGGAAGGTGAACCTGCAGGGTGGAATGCAGTGGATATGCAAGGAACCTGTTCCATAATAATTCTATAAGCAACATAACCTGCAACCTTAGATGTTAGCAACACCAGGGGAGCTTGGTATGCTGACTCTGAGAAACAACACGGAGGGTAGAGTGGAGTGGAGACACCATGGCCGGGCTCTGTGATATCACCGCAGGGATGGGGAACACAAACAAGAATGGAAGGTCCCTGCATTGAATCCGTTGTAGTAAGGAGGTAAAACAATGAGGTTCTGTCAACACTATTGCCTTACGTCTGATTTATAAGTGCCCAGTTCTGGAGTAGTGTCACGCAAAATCATGTCCTCTGGGTGAACTTTGCTCATTATAATACCAAAACACACCTCCATCCCAAAGGCTACTCACCTTCAAGGTGCAACCACCCCTTACTGAGCATGGGCTCTGAATTTCTTTAGCTTTAAAAGTAAAGCAGGGAGATGTTACACCAATCATAATAAAGGTATGTATGACTAGAATCACTCAAGCTCCACCTAAAAATAAGAAAATAGTATAAAATGGCTTAAGAGAGGAGGAATGTTAGGGAAGACACCATCATAGACAAGTCAGGAGGACATCGCTGACTTCTGGGATCAGTCGATGGGCTGAACGTCTCCTCCCCCCCGTAGGGACACCTACTGGATAAGATTTGAACCCTCCATTACAGCGAGTGCTTTCTCAGGAAACTTAGAAATCTCTATAGAGTTATTCCATGCTTTAACGTGTTTGTAGTCAGCTGTATTATTCGTATTCTTGGTACTTGCATGTGCTTTGGAGACAGTGTATTTATCACCAGCAACCTAAAAGAATCTGCACTACTGTTGCTTTAATAAATTGTACTGTTCATTAGTCTAGCCGTGAGAGTTCTCATTGAATGCGACCAAACTTTTTAAGTCTGGCCCTGTTAGTTCATTGAACGCAACTAGACTGAAAGTACATTGTGCTATTGGTGCATCCACAATCGAGGTAGTTCAATATATTGAATGTGACTGGACTTACAGCGTTGAATTGAGCATCGCTCAGAATCTAAGCCTAACCACCTCCAGCCCCTCTGATATCTGAGGACAAGCTGGAGCACAAAGGGGTTTATTTTCTGCCAAACTTCTTTACCGTTTAATGCAACAAATGGGAGGATGGCTTCTCCCAGGAGTTCCCCAGAACTTCGTAGGAAGTCCCAGCTCCTACTCCCTCGATGCCACTGCTGCTTTTGGCAGGGTCCCTGAGGGACCAAACTGATAATCCAGGTAAAAAAAAATTGGGCCAGGTTTTACACCAGTGAGCTACAGCAGACTTAACCTGCATGCCTGACGTGGTGTGGAGCTTACGGCCAGCACACCATACCAACCCTCCACCACCAACTGCTGTCAGAAACTGCTGCGAGAAACCGCTGCTGCAGGCACATCCTTGTAAATTCTGACACTGAACATGAACTTCACTTCCACCACCGTGCAAACCCAGGCAGGAGAAAGCATCTTGCAGCATGCCACCCCCCCCAAGACTGGAGTCTGTCTGAGAAAGTGGGTGTCTGGAAAAATGCAACATTCTCTCCTGCCTGTTCACCACATTACTGGCCTCACTGGATGGAGAATGAAGTTAAGGTTGTTCACAACTGTTGCTTGGAGCTGACCAGTTTTCCCAGCAGTTCTGAGCTCCCCCCCAATCAGATTGCACTTGGTGGGAGCTGGAAGCGGAAAGCAGCTCTGGGAACCAGGCCTAGTGTGCTGCCTGTTGTGCTGTGTTGCCTCCCAGCCATGTCTGGTTGCCACTTTTCTGTGTGTCCCATCGAATGGTGTGGAAGATGATAGAGTCAAAACATTGCATGAAGTGCTATGGTCCTGACGTCTCAGGCAGCTGCCTCACTGCTGGGTAGGTGGGCAGAGAGGTGCAGAAGGAACAGGGCTGAGAGACGGTTGAGCGGGGAGCTGTGGCAGAAGACAGCACTGAGGCAGGGATTAGAGGCATGCACTTCCCAGCCAGGGTGGGAGTCAGGTCTTCTAGTTCAGTGTCTTCAGCAGAGACGTCTCTCCTGAGCAGGTACCGTGCAATTAATTCATCCAGCTACTGTCAGCTCAGCATCCAGCCTGAGACTTCAGGCTGGATGAGCAGTTCAGGACAAGGACAGTCAACCACCGGTCTCATAAAGTGGCGGCATCCCTGACCTTGGACGTTTTCACATTGTAGAAGGACAAAGCCCTGAGAAACCTAATCTAACTTGGAAACTGGCCCTTCTCTGAGCAGGAGGTTGGACTAAAGACCTCCTGAGGTGTCTCCCAACCTGAATTAACTAAGGACTATAAAATGATTGATTAGCTTACACACAGCCTTCAGGTGTGGGCAGGTGGGTTAGGGAAAAACACAACAAAACTGGGAGAAGTGGTTGTTACCCCAGATGGTTGAGCTGCCATCTGAAGGGACCTCTAAAGGCTGGGCAATGGGCAGACAGGAACATCATGCAATTCAACCAAGGGACCTGGGGAGAAATAACCCCATGTACCTGTAAAGGTGTGGTGGCCGACCAGCTACAAAGCAGCATACAGAAAAAGACCTGGGGGTGCTGGTGTACAAAAGTTTGAACATGAAGCAGCAATGTGCCATTGCAGCAAAGAAAGCCATTAGGGCTGCACAAGGAAAAGCATTCAAGCAGGTAGAGAGAGGAGATCCTTCCCTTCTACTCAGCGCTGGTTAGACCTCATCTTAAGTCCTGTGTCCAATTGCGGACTCCCCAGTATAAGAGAAATATGGACATACTAAAAAGCTCTTTAATATTTGCCTATGTCAGTATCTGGACCATGAGGTTTCTGCACTAGAAGCAATTGAGTTCATCATGTCCACTCTGTTACAGAACATTGTAAGTTCTGAGAATGCTGCTCATTCACAGATTTGACCACATGTTCTGGAGTGACACTGCAGGATGGTCTGGATCCTAAGCAAGGCAGTAGCTGCAGGACTATCCTTGTTTGTGTGTAATAGCAGGTATCTCAGTGCTTCTTTAAGCAAATATGTGTCTTCACCCTTCAGTGACAATTTCTGGCCAAATAAGGAATTTGACCCACATATTTAATGCTGGGCAATTGGCAGGTGCTTGGACCAGTAGGAAAAGGTCCTCTCAAATCTGCCCTTCAGCACCTTCACCATGTACCAGCACATCTGCCCAACTCACAGTTGTAGCTAGAGGCTGGTGTCCATCAGGGTGGAACTGTTGTGGTTCAGTCTCTGCTGGGACCACCTGCACAGGTGTCAAGACAGGCTGGGATGCATGGCATTGACAGGCCTGACCCCAGAGCAGCCCCTCTCCAGTAAATGGCGATCCCTCTGCTGATGAACTTGGCATTGGATGGGACACTTCCCACCTTGGCCACAATTCAGAAGCTCTCATGTCAGTGTCTCTTGACAGCTGAGGCATACCAGAGTATTCCCCAGCCTCCAGATCTTGCTTCCCTGGATACAGCTCCTTGCAGGTCCTTTGTCAGATCCACCAGCCCCATGGGGATATCTCAGATACTTGGGAGTACACCGAACGGCTCTTGGTGCCTCCATGTAGAAAGCTGAGTCCGTCCTTCTGTGCCCAGAAAGGACCAGGGTGTCTTCAGGTGTAAAAGCCCTTTTCACATCAATGCTATTCAGTAGGAACTCTCTTGTTTTCTTAGGAAACCCCTGTTTTTCAGCACTTTGTCTCCCTTAACTATTGGTTCACCTTGGCTCTTCAAATTCCCCCTGGAGATGGTGGGGGGGACAGGACCATTAGTGCCAGCTGGTTTCCCAGCCCTCATGCTGTCCTCTGTCCCTTGCAGGTCCCTTGCACTAGGTCAGCAGTACAGCTCCCTGGGGTCCCAGCCCATCCTCTGTGGCTCCATCCCCGGTCTCGTCCCCAAGCAGCTCCGCTTCTGCCGCAACTACATTGAGATCATGCCCAGCGTGGCTGAAGGGGTGAAGCTGGGCATCCAGGAGTGCCAGCACCAGTTTCGGGGCCGCCGCTGGAACTGCACCACCATCGACGACAGCCTGGCCATCTTCGGGCCGGTCCTGGACAAAGGTAAACAGCAAAGCTGGGGGGTTGTGGGGGAACGGGTTTTCCAGGGTGGGTGGATCTGTCACATCTCCACTTGGCTTTTGGATATCCTACTGGGAACACATTGGGGAAAGAGTCTGATATCCTAGCTTGAAACCCTAATTTCTCCAATTTCTTTTTTCTAAATTTTTTGGTGTGTTACATTGAAAGGCATAATGAGGGAAGTGTCTGTTCCCATCCCAGGAGCTCTTGGGAGGTCCAGGTAGGATAAAGTACAGGAAGAGGAAGGTCTAGCCCCATGCATCCTCACATGTTCTGGAATTGTGGGCTCCATCCTCCCTGCCCAGGGCACGCAGCGCTTCCAAACAACAGGGTCCAGCAGACCCAGGGGAAAAGCCAAGGAGAGGGGTTGTGGGGCCAAGGCCGGCCCTTTGAAGCATGCACTGCCTACCCCAGGAGGCCAGTGGGCAGAAGTTTCCCTGCCAGTGAGAAGCCATGGTTGAAATCCATGGTCCTGATCAGGCTTAGTTGGGATTTCAACATATCTTTTCACAGATGAGCCCAAAACAGTCAGGGCTGGAAACAAAAAGAGGGAGAATAAATGTATTTTCCCTTTCCTCTCTCAAAACACATGGGCTTGTCTCTCTTCATCACCTCCTCCTGAAAGGCCACCTCTCTAGACCCACTGCCATGGATCAGGCACACCAGCAGTACATTGATGAGGCATGATAAACTTGGGATTCCCAGTGAGGTCACAGCCTGGGCATTACACTGAGAAAAGCGAGATGTTGGGCCCCAAGACAGCTGGGCACCTGTACCACTAGCCTGCAGCCAAATATGGCCTGAAAGGAGGGTGCTGGAGTACTTTGGTGGCAGATAACCTATCCCATGTCTCAGATGTCCAGCTAGAAAACCAAGATTTCTAAGATAATCTAAGAATGCTTAGATTAAAAAGCATTCCCATGAAACTGAACTAATGGTGGATAAAGAATTCCCCTTCTCTCCATCCCATCCCATGGTTTTTGTTGACTCCATGCCGAGTTTAGCACAAAGGACATCTGCAGATAACGTCTTGGTTTCACAGCTTCATAAATGCAACCAAAATAATTTCCGAAGCTTAGCTCCATTGGTATTGACATACACTGAGTCTGTACAGCCCAGTGAAGTCTGCTTATTGAAAAGAAATTATTCTTTCCAGTGATGCTTTGGAAATAGGAATCTTATGGTACTACCTTTAAGAAACTGGAGAAATTAGGGTTGGAAGCCAGGACATTAGACTATTTCCCAATAGTCTCCTGGAGTGTGCATATCTCCTGGTGAATCTTACAAACCTATAATATTCTGCATATAAACAGTTCATGATATTTTTTTCAAGCTTCAACCTTCCAAGAATGGCATAGTTTCCTGAAACATCAGTAGTATATTTCAGTGAAAATGACTCATTTGGGTTAAAGTGCGATTCTTCACAGAAATCAGGATTGTAAAGTCATATTAGAGTACTAATAAGGACCATGAGATCCAATTCCCCTCTGTTTTGCCAGGATGTATTTTGGGGTAACTGCTGTATTTACTATCAAATAACTTGTCATCAAGGCTTGCCACACTATAACTTGCTGTCTAATAAAAGCATGTCCTAAACTTCAGCACTTACAAGATCAGAAAGTTTTAATTTTCTTAAAAATTATCATAAAAACTATCATAAAAATTTTAAACACGTTCTGAAGGAACTGTTATAGTATTCAGGCACTGAAAATCTCTCACCACCATTTCTGTCAGCATGAAAGCATTTAAAAATTGGATTTGAACCTTCCTTCCCGTAATGAGCAAACTGAACTTTGAATTTATGAAGAATATTTTAAGATTCTTTCGGCTGCAGGGACTAGAGCAAAACCTCATGCGTGGACATGCCTCAACATTTCCGTGCACTCCAAGCTGACAAAGTAAAATATCACCCATAGCTCTGAAACTCTTCTGACAGATGGAGAAAAATTATTGAGCACATTTGTTATACAGCTTTCCCAATCAAACCGTGATGCACCAATAGTCTCCTAGACAGTACTGCCAGGCAATTAGCTTGAAAAACGTATTTATTCTTGTGTCTCACTAACCTGTAAGTAGAACAGATAAAAATAAACAGTATCATCTGCAAATAATGATACATCAAAGTCCAACCCATTTGACTGTGGTTATTATTTACATTTTTTAAATGTGCTAATGTCTTTTCACTGCTGCCTTGAAAATTAATGAGCGCAGATGGGATGGGACTCATTTCATCTATGTAGCAATGAGTAACACTAGGAACGCCTTTGCGATTCCCAAAGTTTGCAGCATGAGTAGTCACAGAAAAAAACATAACCTTTTCAGCCACTGCTTTCTCAGCTGAAGGAAGGATAACGTTGGCAATAAAAAGGCTTTTGTCCTGCCCTGATAGATCTCATTAGCTGTGATGAATCCGGGGACGAATACTCATCACTGCTGAGGGGGCTGTGGATAGGGTTGCTGGATGTTTCTGGTGCCTTCATAGCATCGCCTTCTCCCAAGCTGTTGTCCCATCTTCGTTAGATCCAGCAACAACAGAAATCAAGAGTTCTCAGCCCATAACCTGGCACTGAGATCTGCAATCATTGCCAGCTGCGTTTTTATGTCTGGCTGAGCCCTGAGCACCTGTGACAGCTATTGCTGTGTTCCCTTCTTGTTGACTTCCAGGACTCACAGGGGTGTAACCCCATAAACTAAGAATCATAAATTAATAGCAAGACTCAAACTAAGATGACAATCACTCTTGCAGTTTGCACTGTGTATTAGGCCAATAGGCATTGAAAGCTAAGCCCAAAATAGCCAGTATTTAAGCTATGATAACTACCTGGATGAAATCACCTCTAAGTATCAAAGAGCAACATTTAGGTTAATCTCATCTACTACTCCCTTAGGTAGATTGAAGCTATTTTGGAAAAAAACTTCAAAGGTGTAGTTCTCACTACCATAGCATGGAAAATCATTTCTAATACAGCCTGAAAAGAAATTGAGGATAATTTTTTTTTAAAGGAGCTGCAAAAATGTTAATCACGGTTGCTTCCATTCGAGGAGAGTTTAGTCTGAAGAGCAATGTAGTGTGGGAAAATGACGGAGCCATTTGCAGTGGTTCAGCTGTGCAGACCCTCTTGTGGCACATGTGTTCAAGCCTTTCTTGGTTGCTCCCTCTGGGCACATCATCCAGGCTTTGAGCACTGGTGTCAGTGTGGGAGCACAGGGCATCGCTCCCTGAAATAGCCCAAGGGATTCCTGCCCCCAGGTCTTCCCACAGCCTCCCATCACATCCCCATCTCACTTCTCTTTCCAGCCTCACTGCATGACTCTAATCTCTCCTTTCATAGTCTCTTGCATGGCTTCAAATTCGCAGCAAAGCAATAAACAGCAAATACAGCACAGAGAAACCCCTGAGAGACTAAAGCACTCCCATTTGGGAGCTGCTGAACACTGAACCTGGCTAACGCTCTGCCTTGGCCAACCCGATTTCCTCCCATGTCCCCTACTTGAAATTCAGACTCATGGGGTTTTTCCCATAAAATATGTGGCAGCCGTAGCTGGCAAAGCTTTGGTTTCCTAGGGCCACTGATTATCTTCCTGCAAGTTTTCTTTTTTGCATGTCTTTTTTTCTAACCTGGGCTATGAAAAAAAAAAACCAAAACCAAAAACCAACCCCAGAATGTGGGGTAAGATCATGTTTTTACAAGCAAATTCCCCAAGATGATTTATACTGCAGGTGTGCAGTCTGGGACAAGGAGGGAAGAAAAACCTGCTTTCCCCCCTCTTTCTTCTCCCTCCCTTTTCTTTTTAAAATAAGGTCCATTTTCATTAAAGGACAATGTCTCTTCCAGCCAAGTCCTGCCCCAAAGCCAAGGTTGAGTCTACAGCCAGGTGACTTGCTGCTGCTCTGGGAGGGTGAGCAATTGCCATTCTCTGGGTTAGTGATAAAGTCCGTGATTTTGGTTAAAGCACAGTGCCCAGAAAGAGCTGGTAGTGAGTGCACGAGGCAGGAAGGCCCCACAGGCATCTGGAGACCAACTCCTGGGACACAGAAGAGGTCTCTGAGCCGCAGACAGGACTGGATCTGCAGGAGTGAGTTTGGCAGGAGCCTTAGCAAGCTCATACACTTCCCCACATCTTGAGCGACGGGGGAAACGGTCGTCCCTTGCCTCCTCGCACCACGGCTGCCCTTTGCTCACTCTCCTTCTCCAGGAAGATGCCACCGATTCTCTAGAAAGGTCCTCCTCGACCCTGGTTGGGCTCGAGCCTTTTGCCAGCGATACCGGCCAGGGCAGCATCTCGTGCGTGGCTGTGAGGAGCGTGACGGCAGCAGGGCCAGGTGCAGAAAAGGCAGCTGGGCCCGGGCTGCCTTTGGGGGTCCTTGTGTGTTCGGCTAAGCCCCTGACACGAGCTGTGAAAAGGCAGACCCGCACCAAGATAACCCATGGCTTTTCTCAGCCATGACACTTGCAGTCATTTGCATCTAAACAGGGGTGTGTGGGATCAGGGGCCGTCTTGATATAAACTCAACAGCTTAAAGGGAGGGGGAGGGAAAGGAGAGAGGGAGAGAGAAAAATAAGCTTATACCGATGAGAAAGAGCTAAGCTTCCTCCCCTACTGTGAGGCAGGGCGAGCGATACCATCCCAGCGCTGCAGTCGTTTCAAATTGCTGCAGCATTCACACGCCCTTTAGCCATTCTGATCCGGTGGCGGGGGGCTGGGGAGCGCCATCAATAGGGATTTCCCAGCCGGGCTGGCGGGATTGGAGGGTGACGGCAGGACAGGGGAACATTGCCCCGTTGCTACGAGGTGCTCCTGGGGAATGCCAGTGCTCTGTGCCGTGGGTACGCTGGCCGGCGGAAACATTCTGCATTATGCTGGTAATACAGTGTGACACCGCGGGAACAATGGCAAATTGAGTGTCCCAGCAGGTAACGGGCCTGGCTGGGAGACAGTCGCAGTGGTGCACTGTCAAGACGGCTCTAATCCTCCCTCGCCAGCCCCTCCCCTGGTTCTGGGAACGCTGCTCCCGCATTTCATCTCTGGGAAATTCTCCCGGCTCCTTGCCCAGACCCAGGGGAGAATTTCAAGGCGAGGCGTTTGTGTTTGCAGCTCACTGCCCCCCCACCCCACCCCAGCATCGTGCGGAGAGCTCGCCGGGCAGACGCAGGGGTGTGCGGGGTGCTGCAGGGCAGCTGCAAGAGGGGTGCAGCTCCCCGGGGCACTTCGCATCGTGCCTCTGCCTGGCTGCGGCGGCACCAGCCCCGGCTCGGGTCCCATCCCAGCATCCGCACTCTGTACAGGGACTTACAGACTTACAAAACACGCAGCAACTCTCCATCCCGTGCCCGTGGCTTTTTCACCACCCGCCCCAGGGTGGAAAGTGAAGGCACGTCAGCAGGAGAGTGGCTCGTGTCCTCCCCCTCTGCCCCCGAGCTGTCCTGGTCTGAGGCCAGAAGGGCTTGCTAGCTCCTCTAATCTGATCTGCTTTAGATCACAGGCCACCCAAATAGCCTTTGTCAGGCTGAAACACTCCAGTTGGAGCAGTGATCTTCAACCAGTGGCCCGTAGCCCCCAGTGGTCCCACTATAAGTGACTGGGGAAAGATATCTAATGAAAACCTCGGTAGATAGAGGCTGGATCTCTGCTGGCCTATCGGAGGTGAGAAGGGCAAGGAGGGAAGAGTTTGAATTAAAAAAAAGTGAAAACCACAGCATGGTCCCACTGGCAAAGACAGGATTGAGCAGCTCTCATTTAGGATCATGTTTGGCATCTAGACCCGAGTTCCCCACGCTGCAGCAGAGGAGAGATGTGTGTTTCTACAGCTGGCACATACCCAGGCACTGCCTCTTTCGATTGCCTGCATGGGATGAAATTAGCTCAGTTTGAGACGCCTGATTTTTAGAAGCTAGACCCCACCTCCGCAGAGAAGACTGCAGGCCAAGGAGCAAGACCTGGTGCAGCAAAGACATCCCCAGGGCACGAGGCAAGAGCAGGTGAGGGATGCATGGGGCAGCTGAGAGGATGGTTCATGGCTTCTGCTCTGGAAGGAGGGGATCGTCTCCAAGGTCATCACTGGTCTGAGCCAGCTGAAAATTCTGGTTTCATCCCACATCCATTGATGACTGTCCTGATCGTTCGGTCAAGCTACACCCACGAGGCAGCTGGAAACACCTCCTGTAGCGCACCCAGGGCACCCTCTACCAGCAATGGTACCCCAGACACTGCAGCCCTGACCACCTGCCTTCAGCACCTCCTTGGTCTCCTGCACACTGGGTGTGAGGTTGGATTGACTCCAACACCTACTCTGGATTTACAGACCTAAAGTCTCCATCTTTATAAGATGCCACATAGGGTTAAAGCGCTCCAGTGTCATTCACCAGGGTGCTGTACTTATGCAGATTCTGGCATACCAGAGAGGCTCTGAACCAAAAGATGTTCCTAAGGAGAAAGTTGAGACTGAGATATTATTTTGAGGGTGCTTGGGAAAGTCTGTATTTAGTATAGCCTTATTGAAGTCAATGGTCAATGATTTCAAAATTAGTAGAAATAGTGCAACACTGTCTGCTTTATATAAAAATTAAACAAACAAACAAACAAACAAACAAAAACCCAACCAAGAAACCTTTAAAAACATCCTGAGCAGAGCTCTGTAGCTGAACCGCCAGGTCACTACTGCAAGAACCCAGACTCCAAGTCCAGGGACCAAAGTTTGTGTCACTCTGCTGAGCAGGGAAACACACGGGGGACTTGCCAGTCTGTGTCCTAATGCAGGAGATAATCTCTGAGCTGTTCTGAGCTGTGGTAGGACTTGCTCTCCTTCAGCCCCAGTCAGTCCTCAGCTGGAAGGGAGTATTTGCTTCTGTTCTCCCTTATAGAGAGAGGAATCAAACCTGGGAGCAGATGCAGAGATGGGCAGCCAGGCCGATGAGTGTAATGGACAACATTTTATGGAAAGACTTAACAAATATGGCTCTTTGAGTACAATAAAATGGCAGTTTTGCTCTCTGCAAGCACCATGATGTACAGGGGCCATTAAAAGCTACTTGAAGATGAAAATCAATGTGAGCACAGGAACAAGGGATATAAATTGGCTGGGCTTTAATCTGGGTTGAAAATTCAAAGTTAGCTATTGTCCTGCTTTCAAACCAGTGGAAGAGCCATCAGCCACCAGTGAAAAGACCAGCTCAGTTCAGAGCATGTCACGACTTCTTCAATGGCCTCCTGAAGAGTTACCATACCAAGACACATAATGCAGGAAATACCCTTTCAATTTGACAGTGTATTGTCCACTTACGGACAGAGTCTAAGACTCCCAAAGTCTTACCCTCTAAAGCTAGGTTTAGGTCTTCTAGGTCTTCTCACAGTATTGTTATTTGGTGCTTCTAATATCTCAGAAGTTTCCTCTGGTAGTAGCAGGCCAAGAAAATCTGTCTTGATGGCTCCACACCAGCTGCTGCTTTGGGTGTGCTGTTCAGAACAGCCACCCACGCTGCCACCTCAGGGGTGCGCTTCCCACCCATCCTGCTTGGCCTTGTTGTCCTTCTCAGACCCAGATGGCTATAACCCCCAGCCAATGTAAACATCTTTACAGCTTCTGGTGGCTTCCTCACACCCGTGTGCATTTTGGCTGCTGCTGTCTGAAGCCCAGGTCAGGGCCCCCCAGAATGACCAGGGAAGGGGAGGCCTTCAGAGTCGCCCTGCCATGGTCACAAGTGGAAGAGGTGATGGACCGAGATGCTCCAGTTCAGCAAACCCATTGCACCTTCATCTTCATGTGGATTTTCTGTTTTGTCCCCACCTCCTGCCCAGGTATCTTTGTTCTGCTGAAATATTTTCTCTCTCTTAGCACAGAGGATCCACACACACTCCCGTTGCCAGCTCCCAGTCCACCTAGGCATCCTGGGCAATTTATTTCACCCCTTCTTCAGCATTCAATGCTTTCAGGACTTTCTCCATCTTTGCTACTTTGGGCCTGCCAAAATTCATTCACTGCAACTGTGTACCTGAAGCATGTCAACAGTTACAGAGTCAAAGAACAGGCTTGAGTTTTGTCTGCTTCGATTTCCTCTGGGACTGTTCAGTAATTAATGAGCAACTTCAAGGTTATCTTCACACCCTCAGCTGGTTTTATTCCATTGCTGTAAAGTCACATGTTGTTTAGTCTAGATACATTTAACAGTAATTACTAGCTCCTAGGCTTTGTTCTGCCATTGTCTGTCCTGTATCATCTGAAACCTTTCTCCATTTCAGCATGTATAAGAGCTTCTTCATCTCCCCTTGGACTAACTCCAGGCATGGGGTCCCTCTCTGGGTTTCCAGATCAGGAATTACTCCAGTAACTCTCTTCTGAGGCCCCTCAAGCTCTTACTGATGTTTTGTGCACCCATCAGCACCTGTGCTGAATCAAATCCTGCACCCATTGTATCTGGGGAAATGCTGCACTTGTCATACACAGAGCTGGAATTACAATTCTCTCCCACATGCCTGCATGCTTCAGAAAGCAACGCCACCAGCACCTGATTCAGAAAATGTTCATTAAAAAATTAATAAAATAACTTTTTGCTTTTTAATGAGATTTAGATGATGCTGAAGGAGGTTGGGAAGGAAAACAAAAGTGTTATGTTGACTGATAATCCCATGGACTCTGTTTATTCCCAGCCACACGAGAGTCTGCCTTTGTCCACGCCATCGCATCAGCAGGGGTGGCCTTTGCTGTAACCCGCTCCTGTGCTGAGGGCACGTCCACAATCTGCGGCTGTGACTCCCACCATAAAGGACCTCCAGGGGATGGCTGGAAATGGGGGGGATGCAGCGAGGATGCTGACTTCGGCGTGCTGGTGTCCCGGGAATTTGCAGACGCCCGAGAGAACCGGCCAGATGCCCGCTCAGCCATGAACAGACACAATAACGAGGCCGGCAGGACGGTGAGTGCCCAGCAGGTCCAGAGCTGGTCGTCCATGCCTGCATGGATGGCCCAGTCTAGCTCCCCCTGATGTAGTGGGACCATAATAACACCTGGGCAGGAGATTTCTAGGATTATTTTCCAGGGCACAGCATTTCCACTCTCTCCAAAGAGATGGGTGGGGGTTAAGAAGAGCTAAAACATGCCTTGAGTCCAGCGCAAGCATCTCCCAAGGCAGTGTATAGAAACCCAACTCAACCACCCAAGACCCCAGGTCAATGGTGAAGAGGACCTTACACCCAAGCTACTCCTTCCTGCATGCTCCCCATTGTAACATTGTCCCACCCAGCAATTCGTTGGACTAGATGATGGTCATCAGTCCCTTCCAGCTGAAATATTCTATTCTATTCTTGCTGTCAGCAGGTACCTGGGCTACTGCCTGCTCTAGGTCATTTGCAAACCCAGCGCGCTTTAACCGTGTTATGGCGTGACCTTTCAAACAGTGCTTGAAGCAAACACTAGATATCACTTTTCAGTACCAGAGCAGGCAGAGGTGGAAGGGTAGAAGCTTGAATCTCTAACTTGTGTTAATGACTGACAGCTTCCTGTAAAAAAAAAACCAAACAACCAAACTCTAGTAATTTTAACAAAAATCACTGATTATTTTGCTCCACACAGAAGAGGTTTCTAGGGAAGAGAGAGCATCATGTCCTTGGATTCACAATTTCATTTACTTTTGAGTGAAAACTGTCAGACTCAGGGCATAAAACGAAGGGTAGTTAGCAAAGCTAGGACAAGGGGATCAGCCTACATCCACATATGTCAGAGACATCCTCCAACCCTCAAATTCTCTGGGCTCTGATTGCCCACACAGACATGACAGGGAGGACCCCATTGAAAGGATCGGACCTTGGGATTAGATTAGATTGATTAGATTATATTGGATTGGATTGGATAAATGATTAGAGCAGATCCCTGCCTCAGTCATACTCTTCTAGTGCAACATCTCCTTCTAGAGATGTTTCTGCCGCACACCAAAGCTCCCAAGTGTTTACAACTAGCCTACACCTTCCAGACCAAGATCAGATCAGACTTTTACATCCAGGTAGCAAAGGCAGGTGATTGAAAGCAAATGCTGAACATCATAAGCTGCTGTTGACCACCTTGTTTTCTCTCCCCCTGACAGACCATCCTGGATCACATGCACCTGAAGTGCAAGTGCCACGGTCTCTCCGGAAGCTGCGAAGTCAAGACCTGCTGGTGGGCCCAGCCTGATTTCCGGGCAATTGGTGACTACCTGAAGGATAAATACGACAGCGCCTCTGAGATGGTGGTTGAAAAGCACCGAGAATCTCGGGGATGGGTAGAAACTCTTAGGGCCAAGTATGCTCTTTTCAAGCCACCAACGGAGCGGGATCTGGTCTACTATGAGAACTCCCCCAATTTTTGTGAGCCCAACCCAGAGACAGGCTCCTTTGGGACGAGGGACAGAACGTGCAACGTCACCTCCCACGGGATCGACGGCTGCGACCTGCTGTGCTGCGGTCGTGGCCACAACACCAGGACTGAGAAACGAAAGGAGAAGTGTCACTGCATCTTCCACTGGTGCTGCTATGTGAGCTGCCAGGAGTGTATACGCGTCTACGATGTCCACACCTGCAAGTAAACGTAGGTAGGTCTCCAACTGATGGGAGGTTGCTCCAGAGCAGGGCCAAGGGGTCCATCAACCCTGTGATCAGCCCCCACGTGGTGGCCTCACACTTCAGAGGATGGCATACAAAAATCCTAATGCCCTTGGTCAGGGCAGACACCCTCACACAGCCAGCACCAGCGCTGCAGAGAAGGCTCTGGGCATCTCACTCACACAAGGCGGTCCAAGGCTAGACCTGGCGCTGCAGACACATTAGATCACTGATCTGCTGACTTCTCTCAGGCTGTTTGGCAGGACAGACTGTCTAAGGAGAAGCAGGGACAACAGAGGTCCAGGTGAGGCACGGCCACACCAGTCAGTGTGCGGCTAACACAGCATGCAAACCTTCCAGCTCTGTCCTCCTCCGGAGGTCTGGCCCATGCAGATGCCAATACGGGGGGTTCAGGTGGACCATGAAAGCTGACCAAATACAGGCTCCCCTGCCTGCTGGCACAGCCATCCTGGTCTCAGCAGATTTGGCGAGGAGGAGGAAAGGGGCCAACTACCCACATCAGCCAGGCTCCTTCCTTCCTGCTCCAAGGAGATGACATTGGAGAAAAAAACCTGAGCACACGACCAGAGCCTTACAGCCAGTCTCTCCTTTCACCTCCCCTTTGCCCTCTCTACTCCCCACAGCCCCAGATCATCTCCTATAATCCCCCTGAGGAGGACAGCAGGAAAGCAGAGCCCAGAGCTGATCCTCTGGCATTTGGCCCAGGGTAAGAGCAGAGCGCACACGGTGAGGCTGCCACCTCGTACATGGGGATGCATCACTGCTCCGGCAGCATCCTTGCTGTGCAGCTGCCCAAGAGAGATTTTTAAAGATATAGGCAGATCAACCCAGTTGATGCACCTATTTACTAAGCGCTCCCTGGTACGATGTTATATCCCAGAGCAAGCTCAGAGCATTTCTCTGGGGACAGGGTACCCACCAGGGGAGCTGCTACACCAGCTCTGAGCACCAGTAATGAACAGGGAGACAGAAACCATGGCAAGAAGAAATTTCTGTCCAAGCCTTGTCAGCCTTCCCCCATTAGACAGACTTGTTCAAACCACTTCATCCCGCAAAAGAGAGGCAAGGGCAGATGGGGAAGGGAGACCTTTATCTGACAGCACCATCCCAGGCAGACCCTTGCCTTCCCATAGGATTTCTTGAGTTACCAGCAACTCATTCATGAAGGGTCCACGTCAGGCACAGAGGCTCCAGACTATTAGCAGGGCTTTGGGCCTCAGGTGTGGCCACACAGATCCCATGACCCATCTCAGTGCAGAATAGTCAGCATTCCTCCCTGCCCCCAGGCCACATGCCCCTCCTTGACCACATGTCCCCTTTTTGGGCTTACATTTTCATGGCATATTGACCCTTGCAATTAAAAAAATAAATATTATCTCTGTCCTGGTGGGCTTCTCCACAGATGACAAGGACCAATCACCATCTTCCAACGCCACTTCTCATGCATCAGTGATTTAACGTAGAAATATGTCTAAACCATTAAAGCTGTGTCTTCTACTCCACTCACTTCTCTGCCCGTGGGAAAGAGCAGTACACAGTACTGCAAAGAGCAATAAAATGGGTGAAAGACCCCTCATAAGGAGCACAGAACATGGCCCTGTCACTCAAACCCGTGGCTGGAGAGAATCAGAGCAAAATTCTTGGTCCCTCTGTAGAGCACGATGAAGAGCTCCTGGATTCACGCAGCCTGAGAAGCATTAGCTTTCTAAAATTAAAGATCACAGGAGAGCTCTAAGAAATCTCCCTGATTCAGAAATAAGCCGTCTTCTGATATGCATTCTATTTAAAAGTATATATTAAATTCTGTGTCTGGAAAGACTCCAAGTACCTGACTTTAAACAAAATCCCTTTTTTGTTTGTTTGGTTGTTTTTTTTAATCAAGAAAAGGTATTTAATATTAAATAGAACATTTATTGCCTTGTAATTATTTTACTGTAGCCAGGTATTCTAGCACTGAATGGAAGATCTTTTTCCATCAATCTGCTTTATCCAAAGTTTTGTATAAAGTTGTAGAGGTCGATTTTTTTTTATTTTATATTCAGAAAATTTCTCTTTTTATAAGCATTATTTATTATACAATGTATATACTTGAGTTAACTAAGATTATATATTATATAAATATATATATTTGGAGAAAAATATATTTCAACTTGCATTTTTTTGTGGTACATCATTAAAGAAGGTAAAAAAACCAAAAATATGCACTTGCCCACTTGTGTGGTTTGGCTCTGAAGGTACTTTAAATCCTACTGGAAAACATCTACAGGAGTGGTGGTTCATCATCCAGCTACTTATGCACAGTGACAGTCATGTGAATGCAAGACAATGATAGTAAAATTTAGCAAATATAGGAGATTTCACACTTGAATGCTAAGATTTTTATTTATAGAGTGCCATCTCACAGTGTGCATGCAACACGAGGTTATGGGATTAAAACACACTTTAGACTTCATATTCTCCCCACACCAAGGTACTTGCAGGCTGTCATCAAATCACCTTTTGATGGTTTGGACAGTCTGACATCCAAATTTTTGCATATAAAAACATCTTCTCTTGTCCATGAATAATTTTGTGGGCGTTTCTGCAACATCTCCCATATGTTAATGATGCTTTTAAGTGCACACAATTTTCTCCAGCACCAGCCTCAAATACACCTATCTGAAGGGTGTAAAAAAAAAAAAAAAATCATTCTATATTCCTAAACTGATCCCTAATTTATACACAAAACAATTACATCTGCCTCCTTGCAGAGTGCTGCCTGAAACATCCCACTGCTTGTGCATGATGCCTAGTTCCATTTCACTGCACCATGTTGCAGACAGCATGCTTCTGCCAGTGCCACCTCCTACTGGATGGCAGCAGTGATGCCTTCAAAGTTACAGGAGCACCAGTGCTGTGCTGTTAACAAACCAGACAACCAAAAAGCCCAGCCTTGTGGAGTGTTCTGAGCTTAAAAGCTTTATCAGTGGAAGCTATCTGTACATCTGCCCATCATCCCAAGCCTTTCTCCACCACACTCCAACCCCCCCAAAACCCACCCCAACACTTTGAAATATATTTGTCTTTGGTTAACAACTCAATTTTAGAGACAGTTATATTTCTGGAAGTTTCAGGAAAAAACAGCAACAGGGTAAGGAAGGGATTGAAGAATTTGGCTTTTACTGTTTAAAGCAATATAGTTCTCACTATAAAGCCACTCTTGCCCAGGCAGTGTCATGGAGAAAATGTGGTGTGAAGGTGCTGCCAGGAGTCATTCTCTTCTGCCACCTGCAGGAAACCTCTTGGGTGGAGATGTCAGAATAGTTTGGAATGGGTGGGATGTCACACCCAACAGTTTGCCCTGGTTTTCTGAGATGGCCTTCTTCAAGTGTGATACACCTAACACACACACACACACACGTGTACATCTTTGGGGCTTCCTCAGCACTGCAAGGTCCAGAAAACTCCAGAATGGGTTGGACCAGAGGTCTTCTCAGCCAACTCCTTTAAGACCACCTGTGGTCAAGCTATCCAGGCTGGGGATATATTCAATCCATCCATGCTTAGGGTGAGCATCGCTCTGGCTCTCAGCAGCCTGGGAATAGCTTTGCTGTCTTCATGCCATACATCAGCACTCTATATATACACCTCTGATCGACTAGCACCAAAAGACACACATGTCTCCCAGATCATCACAAGTAGTTGTGCTTTTTATTGAATCCATTGAATGTGCAATTAAACCAGGTATTTATTAATCAATATTTCTGGACAAAGACACAATAAGGTTTACATCATTTACTCCGAAATATAAGTTAATGTGTGCTGCTGTCACTAGGACTAGCAGAGGAAAGAAAGGAACAAATAAATTCACAAGATCGTACACAAAATGAGAGGGAATAATAACCACCGGGACTCGCAATGTCATCACAATACAACAGCACTGCCAAAGGAAAAGAAACCAGAGTGGAGTGACTAAAATATTCCGACTGCTGTAAGTATGCACTAAGGACTACAGTACCTTCACCTTTGGGCCTGAAAGAACGTGAAGCACCCTCTTTCCCTGGGAACACTGCTTTGGGTAAAGCTGCTAGCCTTTAGCAGCGTGTCTGGTCACGTTTAGGAAGCTACACTGACTAAGAGCTCATAAATGGCTTTGATTTCATGCCCCACCAAATTGAGGTATGTTCCATGAACCTTACTAAACATGTGGAGCCAAAGAACCAGAGGGGAGTAGCCTCATGCAGTCATCATCGACAGCATCTCATTGATGCAAGATGATTATTGGGGAACAACCACATAGCAAAGTTTGATACATTCCTTTATTTCAGTGCAAAAACATGGCAATACATATCTCGTGCATCTGCAGAGCTTGGATTCCTCTCTATCTCTAAGGAGGAATTTCAACCTTTGGTAACATGGCAAAAAAATGGGATATAATGAGGCTGGCTAATACCAAAGCTGCCATCTATATTGCACTCATGAAGAGCTTTCAGGCTGGAATCAGCATCTCTAGAACTGTTGTTGAATTAACAACAAGCTTTGATGCCTTAAATACTGGATTTGGAAGTTTCCTCTACTCTGATCAACATACTTCCCTGCCTTCTTCCAGTCCTTAATGCCACTAGCCAGTCTCTCTCATCAAGCCACAAAATACCTGGATATAAAAGAAAGCAGGTACTAGCATCTAGGCATTCTGGAGCTGAATTATTGTGGGCACTGTCTTCAGGTTATCAGCCTGGCTCAATGTTCAATGAAGCATAGGACGACATAACAAGAAACCGTTCATCAGATCAGGATAAGACAGAGTAGTACTTTAATATGCCTTCACCACAGACTGTCAGGTTTTATTAGAAGTCAGGATTTCTTTCCTATCATAGCAACTGGATGCTGGACACAAGTGAGCGTTAGCTTCAAACTTACAGGACATTTCCCCCATGCTAAAATCAAATGAGAACGCAGCCTTGCCTGCACAGAGACAGAAGCACAGTGTTCTAGAAGACACTTCCACACGACATCAGTATATTAAAGACAAAGAATAAAGATACTGTATTGCACTAAACATGCAGATTCCACATTGGGTTCTTGGAAACAGGGAAGCATTTCACTTTGTCCAGTGTGTTGAACATAGAAGAGTAAAGATCCCAGTGTATATTCTCCAGGTTGGTCACTTTTCCAGCTGTTGATCTTGCACTTGGTCCACCTTCAGTCTAGGGAGGGAACTCTTGCAAAAGAAGCCAAATCCATCAAGAAAGCATGCACATGTATAAAAGCATCAAGCACACACTGGAACCCACTCACATGTAGCCAGGATAGATACTGTTGTGAGTTTCCCCAGCACAGGTACTGCCCTACATGTATTAGAAAGTCATTTTCTAGGAGATGCCACTGTCAAGACTGGGCTCAACTATTCCCTGTGATACCTACAGGGGAAAGAGTATGACATCCTTCTCTCAGACAGGAGAAATACAAGAAATAAAAGTTCCAGATTTTAACTCTAGCAAAATCTCCTCTGACTTACTTTAACTAAAAAAAGCTAAACTGTGGTTCAATATCTCATTTAAATTTTAAAGTCACAGGTAAATTAAGAAAAGCAGAGAATTCAGGCATGCAGGTTCTCAAAAAGTCTTCAGGACTTCCTCCCTCCCAAAACAACTGGCATACAGATGTAAGGAGAACTGATCTATCTGTAAATATAGGAGGGGCCAACAATGAGATCAGATATAATACACTGCAGTTTCCCCTCAAAGAGGTACTTGTTTCTGAGCAGAAAAAAGAATTTTAAACAATGCTTTAAAATTAAAGTACTTACGTTCCTTCTTCTCTCAGAAGAGCCAAGAATTTTTTCACCCGATACTCAGGATCCATCTAAACACCAAACAAAACAGATGTCCGTTAATGCGGTGCAATCTTCCAAGTAGCCCAATACGAAAATGAGGCCACAAAGACAGCTGGAGATGCATGTGTGTGTGTTTGCTTTTCCCATGCATTGGCCTGGCCAGAGATCAGCCTGCTTGTTCAGAAGTTCTGCAGCTAAGTAGTGCAGATAACAGCACTGCACCAAGAGAAAAAGTCAGTTAGCACAAGCTTAGCATGCTCACATCGCTAGGAAATGAGCCAGACTGGAAACATACGCAAGCATTTCTATCAGGTATTTCTGTTTTCATGGCAGTCTGCACACTAGCTTCACCCCACAGTACCAATTCTAGCCTGGTTCTGCAGAAGCCAGGCCCATTCTGTGTCTGCTTCTATCTGCCCCTTTCCAGAGCTGGGGCAGCAAATTAAGCAGTTAGGACTAGAAGGGACTGAAGATGTCCTCAACTTTCCTCTGCCTTCCTTAGCCCTTACAGCTCCAGCACCACAGCACCAGAGGAAAGCAGCTTGCACATGGTGGGTTAACACATAAGTGAAAACTGAATCACAGCACAAGGCTTCTAGAACTTGCAGTACCAGCTTGTGTTGTGGCTCCATCAACCAGGAACATCCCCTAAATATCAGTCCTGCCTCTCCCCCAACACTGAGACAGAGACAACAGGGAAGCAGGAGGAAGGTCTGCTAAGGAGGCAGAGAATCAGGCTGCCATCAGAAGACACAACGTATAACTGCATCTGCCCTTTGTGCTGATGGATGGGCTGGTTGATCCTCTCTAATGTGAAAGACTCTAGGCAGATTGCCATCACTACACCAAAATACAGTGAGTTAGGACTATAAACATTTGGAAATTGGAGCCCGTTGGTTCTCAGAGTATCTTTGTGTTGCAACAGTTCATTTGGCCTAGAAACTCCAACTTCTGTTCACTCTGTAATCTTCATCAACACCTTGTATCTTTAACACACTGTCAAAAATACAGTGGGTTCATTCTGAAAATATTCAGTAAATGGTACTATGAAGCTGACTGGTGGTAAGATTCCCACCTCTATCACCCCCTTGGTAATAAATAGGCAAGTGCTCTAGAAAACATAAAACTGGGACTTATCCTTGGAGGGGGGAAGCAAAGTTTCAACATGTGCCCTGGCCTCCCCACAAACAGGCCGAACAAGGACCCTTGAACTCCTCTACCACTTTTTATATACCTAAAGGAAAATTTCCACCAATTCCAGATGTGAAGAAGTCATCTATTTAAAACCACGACCACTGCAACTAAGGGCAACACAAATGTCTTCAAAAACAGCTTGTAAGAAATTAAATCCTAAAACAACAACAGTATTACCAGTGATGCAGGCAGGGAAGAAACGGCCAATAAGAATTTCTGTTTTGTGCTAAGAAAAGCCTAAAAATGTGTAACTTCCTATCACTTTGAAATATGTCAGCAAGGCCAATACCTCAATACCAACTACTGAACTATTTCTAGATCAGAAAAATAAATTCACTGAAACAAGATGATTTAAAGAACTTAGTGAGGATCACTGAGCTATTAAATTGGGTTTTTAACATGCAAAGGAATACTGGTAATATTCAGGATCCCAGAAGGAAAGAAAGGATACCCCATCACCTAAAGCAGTGTTTGAAATGTATAATACACAGGTACTAAGAGAGGCACTGTTGTGCCACATAACTGGAGACCAGAAAGCTGGTGCTTGCAGTATCCCTCTAGCCTAAATCTTCTCCACAATCTCTCCCAGTCGTCACAAGGGAAAAGTACATCTGTCACTATTTCAGTTGTCCCATTTCTATGTGTAGACGTAGCACTCAGGGACATGGTTTAGTGGTAAACTTGGCAGTGTTAGGTTTATGGCTGGACTCTATCTTAAAGGTCTTTTCCAACCTAAACGATTCTATGATTATATCAGAAAGGCTGAAGACAATTGGGATAGGAGTACGTGCACATGGGCCACACACCCTGAACACTGATTACTTGGAAGTCCCCTTTCTCTCAGGGAATCCACAGGTGTAATAAGACTAAGCATGTGACTCTCACTTGGCAAAGGGTCTCAGATCTTCCCCATTCAAAGGGCTCTGGTCTGACCATGTGGCTGATCCTACTTAAGCAGGAGGTTGGACTAGGTGGCATCTTGAGGTGCATTCTGACTTCATTTATCCTATAGTCTTATGACAACTTAGCCACCTCTCTTCCTCTATTTCTAGATGTTTCCAGAAAGGCTAGTACTTGATAAAGGTGTGACCACAACTCCAGGTGGCCACACAAACAAAGTATCATTTACTGGCAAGTACAGACTAAATAACTGGGACAGCACAATGGACTGAAAACTGGTTAAACTGCTGGGCTCAAAAAGTTGTGATCGGTGGCATGAAGTCCAGCTGAAGGCCAGTCACTAGTGGTATATGCCAGGCATCCTATGGGAGCGAACACTCTTTAACCTCTTTATTAACAAACATGCTTTTGGGACAGAGTGCACCCTCATCAAGTTTGCAGATGACATGCAACTGGGAGGTGTGTTTCATGCACTTGATGATGGTGCTGTCAATCAGAGAGACCTCAGTTGGATGGAGATACAGACTGACACAAATCTCAAGCACTTCAACAAAGGGAAATGCAAAGTCTTCCACCCAGGCAGGAATAACCCCATGCACCAGTACAGGCTGGGGGACAACCAGCTGGAAAGTGACTTTGAAGAAAAGGACCTGAGGATCCTGGAGGACAAGTTGAACTTGAACCAGCAATGCGCCCTTGCAACAAAGATGGCCAACAGCATCCTGGGATTTGTTAGGAGGAACATTGCTACCAGATCGAGGGAGATGATTCTTCCCCTCTTCTCAGTGACACCACACCTGGAGGACAGTGTCCAGTTCAGAGCTCCCCAGTACAAGAGAGAGAGCGTCATACCAGAGAGAGTCCAGCAACAGGTCACAAGGATGATTAAATTTCTCAAGCGTCTGTCATACAAAGAGAGGCTGTGAGTCTGGAGTGGAGAAGACCCGGGACTGGGGAGGGCAGGGTGACTCTTACCAATGTGTATAAATACCTGATGGGAGGGAGTAAAGAAGAAGAGAGAGATGCTCTTCTGAGTGGTGCCCATTGACAGGGCAGGAGGTCACAGGCACAAATTGAAATGTAGTTCCACGTAAACAGAAAAGAAAGCTTTTCATTGCAAGGGTGATCACACACTATTAGGGACTGCCCATGGAGGTTATGGAGTCTCCATCCTTGGAGGTATTCAAGACCCAACTGGACATGGCCCTGAGCAACCTGTTCTAGTTCATTGTGCTTGGTTTGAGCAGGGGGCTGGACTAGACAAAGAGGAAAAAAATGCTATGGGTGCAATTAGCAGAGTGTATCTGTTTAGTACCTTCTTGCTGTCCATGACATTCACTCAAAGAGAAGGTCGTCATGAACAGTTTACCCTAGAGAACCAGATACCGTGCATGGCAAGCCAGATGAAGTGTTCACTGCAGTTCCTGGACAGGAGGTTCAAAAGTGGCTGAAACCTCAAGTTACATGGACAGCCAAAGCAAGCCTGGGAACCAGAGCTGCCAAGGCCAAACTTAAGCAAAAAGAATTACCAGCGTGCACACTCTCAACAAGCTTCAGACACAGCCCACAGAAGAAAGGGATTTGAGGAAAAGGACAAAATGCATTTGATCTTTGACCATGAGTAGAAAAGTGCATCTGAGAGAGATCCCTGGCCTTCTCAGATAAGACACACGGCATTTTTGTAGATACTGACAGTAAAGACATCTACTTCTGAAAGGACTTCTTCAGAGGAGTAACTCAAGTGGCAGCCCACCAAGTCCTCAGATTTGACTTTTCAGCTATGGTCCAAACTCAGAGACAGCTTCTCCATGAGAAAGCTGAAAGAGCTAGACAAATGAACTGCCAAGAAGTGGACCTTGCTGGCAACAGTGCAAAAGCCAAACTTCATCCACTCCTGTTGGAGCTGGAAAGGCCTGGTTCCCATCAAACGTTGATGTTAAAGAAGGTGGTGAGATGTCTGTAGTCATTTACACTTACACTTTCTGAAGGTCTGAACTGGATTAGATGATGTCCTGAGGTCCTTTCCAACAAGAATGATTCTGTGATTCTAAGATCTTAAGTATTCTGCAAATCAGGCAAACCAGTGAAAGGCAGCTTGATGATTAGAGAAACAGCAACTCACTACCATAAGCACTTGCACTCCATACAGAATCGCTGCTGAGGGCCAAAGGCAAAATCCATACAAGCATAGCAAATGTTTATGCTGCCAGGGACACCAATACCAACAGTCTTTGCACGAAACAGTGGATGAAGAGTCAAGACACTTTTTGCAGAGGACACAAAACTGGGCAATTTACTGAGTAAAGAGAGAATCCTTCATATCTCAGACTGACACAAGGAACAATGAACACTGAGATGGAGCAAGGTTCTGGCCATCGACAGAAAGCCCAAAGCTGATAAAAGGAGAATGTCACACAGAATAGTCAAAGGGCCTGGCATATTTAAAGTTTACTTATCTCACTGACTGACCAGGAACCAAGAGTATTATCTACCTGCAAAGAAGATGGTCCTGTTACCAGGACCTTGGTGAAACATTAGGAAACCACAGAAAAGTCATCACACTCAGGAAATAACAAAGGACCAATCAGATAGTTCTGTTAAAAAAACCAACATGATCCGAGATGGATATATACAAACAGATCTCTTCATTCCTGGAAAATCTGTACTAACGCCACCAGCTGAAATTCAAATTTGCAAATGTGAGCGTTCTGTTTCCCAAATCAAAGATGCTGCCTCCCCTTCCCTTTTCACTCGGACCTAAGAAAGTGGCCATGGTAAGACCCTTTGTCCATAATCAGTACTGACACAGTCTCTACAGACTCTTTGGGAGGAACAGCATTTATCTGCAGACACAGTATCTTGTCCAAAAGACAAAACCAGGAAGCTGAAATGCAACAAAGAGGCAAACTTGACCGAATAACTTACTAAAAAACACAAACACAAAACCAGAAAGTTGATCTACCCTGGAAGGAGCAGAAGAAGCAGCAGGTTTAGGACTCTTGAAAAGACCTTCTAGTGCCCTGTGAAAGGAGAAATGCTGCTGTCAAACTGGATGCAAGATTTTCTAGAAGAACAGTGGAGAGACTGACTCTGACACAGCTCAGACAGCTGGCAAGAAAATGGCTGTTCATTTCTAGGTGATGCAGTATCCCCAGGACATGCCTGGGTGCCCTTAGGAAAAAAGGCAACTGAAGAGAATTCATTAATCTTCAGTCCAGAGAAGAAGAGATACTCCAAGATGTGCATGCCCTTGAGTAGTACAGTACTCCTATAAACCTGTCATAAAATCCAAACTCTTAGTATGTCCAGATACAGCGTTGAGTTTAAAATAATATAGGCAATATTATATGATGACCTTTCAAAATAAGTTCCCATGTAAGTTAAAATACATTACAAACAGCTTAGATTAACTTAAGTTTTATTTATGCTAAACAGAAGTTACCAAATCAGGAAATACTGGAGGTGCAAAAAGGGGCTTTCTGGAAAGCTGCCTGGCTCATTCGGATTCCTACTCCAAGAAGGAGAGAGACCTTGGGTTTTGGAGTGTTGCCAGCAAGGTCCAAGAGCAACAAGACAGGCAGGCAAAATAAGCAGAAGGAACCAGCTCCCTAGCTATGGAAAAAGAAGGCTCATGTATCTAGCAGCACCCCAGGGTAGGGTTGCAGTATCAGGGCAGGGTGAAGCTAGCGTGGCACCTGATAGCACTGTGAGGTGGTCTAGGTACTGCAGCCAGGGATACTTCAAAACTAAACTCTTCTGGATTCTTGTGGCAAATCATGAGTGTACCCATTCATCAAAGACTTCTTTTGAACAAGAACATAACATCATTCCAGGACACTCAGTATATACAAGGTGACCAAAGTATATGAAACTAAATACGAGTAGTTTGACATTAAAGAAGGCCAGGAATAGCAATAAACATAGTTTGAGGGAAATTAAGCTGCCAAAAAGTGTGGGTTTACAAGGCTCATAAACAAGATAACAAAGCAACCCAAGATACCAGAGCAATCCAGTGATTCACAGTACTCTAAGAAAAGATTTTGACATTGAGAGACTGGTTCAGCAAGACTTTAGTCTGAAACAAACCGAAAGTCATTTGAACAGCTTAAGAATAGCTACATATAGCATATATTGGGTTTACTAGTCTAATAAAACAAAAAACACAGTTAGATTCAGTGACTGCAGAGAAAGAAACCAGGTGCACATTTTTTGCAAAGAATTGATTCACCATGGGATCTAATCAGCTGAATTTTGAGAAATTTCATCCATCAGTTGGAATTTTTAAGGTATTTCAGATTCAAATCTCTTTCTAAAAAGCTGTGGTCTAGCTCAGTGAAAAAAGGAACTAGTCTTGGACTTCTCATTTGGTGAAATTCTGCTTTCCTGTACAAGCTAGCCAAATTAGACATCATTGTGGTCTCTCAATGCATTCAGGTATGAGTGTTCTCCTATTTATTGAGAGCCTGTATTGCTTTCCTGTATTTATAGCAGTTCAGCAGACAGAGTCACGTAAACAGCTCAGACCTTTTGGAACAGAACTTCTTCATATTTAGCTTTCATATGCTATTACACAATTACCTGAATTGAGTGTAATAATGTAAGCCGCCTTGCTACCAACCATCCATGTATAGTAGCAAAGGTGGATTATCAATCATATCAGCAGTAGCAGTCCTTCATTTTACACTTGTTCAATTTGTCAGAAATGGCAGAGTCACAGTTTTGCCTGTCTTCTCCCAGCCTGATTGGTCATGGACTCATCTACAAAAGGGTGGTCTGGTTAACAAAAAAATAAATAAAAATGCACAAGACCAGTTTACCTGTCTGCACAGTCTAGGGCAGCGTGAAGACTCCCTACCTACAGCATCACAGGTGTGCAGTCATGGGGCAATCCTGTGAACAAGGCTGGGCTAAGCATTTCCACCCATGCTCCAGATTCAGAACTGCCCATAATTTACATAACCTTCACCTTCAGTTTTGAGAAGAACCAACACTTAAGGTCAAAGCAGCAAAAGAAAACATCCTGTGTCAGAAGAAGGAATCCATTGTCAAGGCTAAGTGAAATGGACTGCAACAGAGCCAGGCAGTCCCTGAAGGCCTGCACCCCTTAAATACATTTAATACATGTGAGCAATGACTTACTGACTTGCCTGTAGGTATGGAATTAAAAGCCAAGGAAGAAGAGGAAAAAGTAATCTAGATAAATGACTTTATTCCCTGAGGTGACATCCAGTCAGAGCACATCCTTAGTGCTGTGCAAGTTTTAACAGAAATGTGAATAGTGAACAGAGGGATACATGACTTATATGCTGCTAAACTACATGCCTCTTAGCTTATGCTCAGCCTCTCCTAGGAAGATCTAAGGACAGTTCACTCAGCTGCACTAAATCCATTTGATGTGAAAAGAGAGTGTGTGCGAGGCGGGGGGGGGGGGAGGACTCAGAAGGGCGCTGAAATGTCAGCCACGGAGGATTAGAGCTGCATGCTACACCCTCTCATTTTTAGCATGCATATACTGTCGAGCACAAGCTTGATGGCTGGCTTGCAGGCATAGATGATGGGTGCGGGGGAGGGTTAAGAGCTACATATTTCTACCCTCTGCAATTATTTTCTTTAAAGTGCTGAAAGTGGAAAATAAAGAGGAGCGCAGCTGAACAGCCTGACAGATTTATCTTCTTCAGGGAAAGAGAACATACACCTGCACAGGCACCTTTTTCTTTAAAAAAAAAAAAAAACTTAAGTGATTGCTATCTGCAATCTTAACATGCTGGGTGTAGAGAAGAAATTTCATGAAAGGTAAGTTAATCCAATCCCTCCAGTTGCCAGATGCTCTTCTCTGAAGTGCAGCTCTAAACAGCCTATAGGCACTGTAGTTTTTAAAGATTTCTCCGTGGACCAAGACCTGGTGATTTCTTTGTTCAGAAAATTTCTTCTCACTGTAGCTCTTTTCTCAATTAAACCGATTCGAAGGCTCCTACCACATAGCTAACATAGGAGTCTGCAGAGAAGTGGGAACTTCTAAGACTGCTCTATTTATCACAGTCCTTCCTGGACCAGAAACATTCTTACTTGTAATGACATTTCTATCAGCATCAGCAGCTTCTTGATACCAATCCAGACAGACTTCCCTTTGACATTCTGTGCAATAGTGCTGCGTTCCTTGTCTTTGAAGTTACCCAGGAGCTGGAGGGGGAAAAAGAAGAAAAAAAAAAAAAGAAAAAACCAAAATAAAATAAAGAAATCAACAACAGGAGACTGTCAGTAGGAATGATGCTACCTAACTCAGGAAAAAGGGAATGAGAAGCCAGAAAGCATTTTCTAGCTCAGAAGGAAAATTTGTTGCAATATGTCTAAACAAGGCAAAACACTTAAATTCTTTTATTCCATAATGGTTCTTTTGATAACATCTCTAATTGAACAGTTAGTGATTCTCTTTTATGATCCATTCTAGGTTTTCTCCAGATTAGAGTCTAGAAGGAACACAGTGGCTCAAGCCACAGTAAGTTTTCAAAACTGCTGCAAGAGCGTCTATGTCTTTCAGGCTTTAGGGATATTATCATTGTGACAGTTTTGCAAGTCTGCACAAAAGATTTGTCTGTTAAGTTTATTTTAACAGCCTTCAATATTCACTACAATTTCCACTATGGCATAGAATAAGAAGCCATTAAGGGCATGAATTTATAAAGAACCTATAATCTCTTCAGCACCAAACACCTTCATCTGATGTTGTTCCAATTCATGAGAGCTTGGCACCCTCCAGGCACGTTCAAGTTTAAGTGCCCCGATTATAATTATTACCCACTTTCATGCTGTCGGAACAAACAAACTTCTTCTCTAGATCTACCATTCTCTCATTTTGACTTAATTTATTGTATCGAAAACTAATTCAGAGAAGCCTTAGAACTGTTATGTTATGGCATAATGTTAAGAGGGACAGTGTTCCCAAATGCAGAGCTACCACAAAATCACTCATTTCCAGCAATTTTTGAGCTTATTTGTCATCCTTGAACTTTTTCTTACCTCCAAAGCCTCCATCAGCTGCTCCCCTGTTGCAATGTTGGGCACATGAATCGTAGTGCTGAAAGCGTTCAGCATTTCCATTTCCTGCAGGACATCTTTGCGACTGGTGGTTCCAATGATTAGAAGCTTGCGACCCTGTCCACACAATGGAATAAGTGTCAAGAAAGGGAAAACAAGAGAAAAAGAGGAGAACCCGCCTTGGGAAGCTTCAGCTAACTAGAAATTAAAAATAGAAAATGGCCATGTAAAAATATGACTTCAAATAAAATTAATAGGATTAAATGTCTCAGTAATTGAGGTAGTCAACATTAACCATACAAGACTAGGATCACATTCCAGAGTAATGCCACCAATGGGGTCCAAAAATTATGGTACACAGAAGACCCACTCATACTTACAGCTTTCCTACCTTACCTTTCCTTCTAAATTCATCACTATAAATAGCTGAATCCTCATTAAATTTAAAAATACGAGCAAACCCCCACTCCCAAAAGCTGAATTACAGATGACTTCTCAGGGGAACACTCTGTCTTTAGAAATCCTGTGGGTACAGTGAATTCTCTGCCACTGTACAGACAGTTCCAATGGTTTTACAGCTCACGCTTTAAGAGCGGAGGTTGCCGTAAGTTCGTAAGACTTCCCATTGCCAGTGTGGTTATATAAAAGGACAGTACCACGTCTGGCAACCTCTGAGTTCAAACCGACAGTGCACACACCAATTTCAAGTTGGCCTGAGCAATAACAGGGTTTATAAATAATAGAGCAACGAATGGAAAACATCAACTGCCAATAAAAATCAACTTTTGCTAGTTCATCTCGAAAATGGCATTTCTATGCTATTTGAATTTGACCATGCAGTGTTCAGACACTGACAAATGTTGGCTGACAAAAGGAGCTTTTGACATTATCAGCTGTGATCAGTCCCTTTTCCAATTCAGTACACAAGGAGCCCATGAGTTGAGGGGAGGCCTAGCTGGCCAAGTATGCTCCTCATTTGCTGTACAGAAGTTTAGCTGATGCTCAGAGACAAAGAGTAAAGTTCTCTACTTCAACTTTGTGACACAAAACCCTGTTCATCATAAAAAAAACAAAACAAACAAAAAACCTAAAAACCATGCCCACAGAGCAGTCAGAATTAATATCATTAAGTGCTTTGCATTCCTTTGACAAAGGATGAAAACCTATTTAAACTTCATACATCTCTGATGAAGATGATGCATCTTTGCAACATTTGTTTATTTTTCCCTGAGTGCCATTGTATTCACTGACTTTTTGTGTTTCAACAGATTACACTCCTGCTTTGGGCGATGGACAATGAGAAAGCACCAGAACTGGTAACGAACTCAAGTGCTCACTTCAAGTTTGTTTTTAGCCTAAGACAGCACAAGGAAGTAATGCCTGGCAGGTTGAAACCAGCGCATGCCCCAGGTCACGAGCTTCACACAAAGGCTTTGTCAGGGAAACACTGTGCTAACCCTTCTGTGTATTAATCACTGCCTACATCTCAGGAGGCACCACACTCACCAGCTCAGTCACCTCTTTAGAGGGGGAAATCCTCAGAAACCTACTGGGCAATTTAATGGGGAAAAGCAGCCAATTCCTGAACTGACAACAGCAATGCCAGGTTTAAAACTTCAGTGGGAGTAGGGAATGCTTTATTACTAGACAAAACTCACCTGCTGGCGGCGCACAGCAGGCAGAAAAAGGTCTGTCTAAAACTGTCTGTAGGTAGCCTTAAGAAGGGCATACAATGTCTGCAGAAAGCATAAATACAACTATTCTGTAGGCTGCTGCTTCCACTATGTTCTGCATGTCCATGGCTTTACAATTGCACATTATTTGTTTCCTTTTTGATGGTTATTGTGTAGCAAGGCCAGGAAAATATTTTATCATTTTACAAGTTTGAGCCAAATCTGAGCAATTCAGTAAGATCTTGCATGCAAAGATGAAAAAACAATGCACTCAGTGGAGAGTAAGTGAATGGCATTTGATCCTCACTGCTACAAGGAATTCAGAAAGCTCCATCAGGTGCTCATTTTCAGCTAAAGCACTTAACAGACCTAGAAAAATAAATGATGCTTGGCAACAGAAAAGCGTTTTGCCTACATGAAGGCAAAATTTCAGCAGTCTTCATCTTTGGAGGGGGTTGGTAAAACAGACTTTAAACACAGGTTTGGAAGCTGTGTGAAATGAGTCCCGCAAGAACACTTGAACCATCACCTGCTCGTGAACCACAGAAGTGTGGTACAAACACCTTTAACATTTGCTCTGAAATTACTACCCAATGACAAGCTTAAAAGGTGCCTTGAATTCACTAAGATATTCTTGGGATAACAGCACATGTGACAGAAGAACTGATGCATGCTTAAAATCTTCAGAACGCAGACACAGGGATTATCAGCAGATTTGATTGAGAAAATTTAATCTCGATTCTGATTTACTTTGCTTTCATGGTTGCTCTATATTTCCTCAACACACTGTCCTCAGTGAGTTTTTGTTCAGTTCATACATAATGCTGATATATCTGATATTATATATGCTATAACTCAGTAAAAAGTATAAGCCCTGTAAGGAAAATTTCTGCTACATTATTCTAAAAATTGTAACAAGTCATATGCATGCTGTTGGGCACCTTCAAACAGTTTTCTTGTTATACAGGTAAGGTATTAGGGTACAAAGGAAGCCAAAGAAAGACTGTAACAGAACTGAGATCTCCAAAACATGCACCAACTCCCTCTTGCAAGCACAAATCCATGCAATGCTATACCACCAAGACCAATCTGCTTTACAAGCTATAGCAATTCTTCTAAAAAAATGTTTATTACTGTATGTAATTCTCAAAATCCAGAACAGTTTAGGTAAGGGATTGTGTTAGTAACAGTTTCCCATGAACTATGAGCATTTTAGGGGGGAAAAAAAATGCTCAACTGCAGCCAGTAAGGCAGTATTTGTTCCCAAAATATAGCTAACAGCATGGGTACAGTGCCTGGCACAGCAGATAAGACATCAATCAAGGGAATAACAACTTGCAGACTAACTTCTTGAAGGATGCTACCTGAGCAACTTCTACATGGATGAAGTCCATGCTTGATTAAAAGAAAAACGGAGTCTAGTTTGGGGTTTCATCAGAGACTAAAAGGCCTCACCAGGAAAGGCTGTAAGCAGCATAGAAATTATAATTAGTGAGGTGAGTTTTACCTCCTGTAACTTCAGGTGTCCACGTATGATCTCATTCTCTGCATTTCCTTCTCAGTTAATGGAGCCCAGATGACACATACGTCCTCCCAGAAAAGCTGCCTACACTCTGGACTCATACAGCAAACTATTTTCTAAACAACTAGTTCAGTCGTAGAAAACCAAACCGCTGACAGCCACATTTAGTCAGATGAATCCCAAACTTGCTGTAAATCAGGCCAGCAGACAATTACTACACACACAAAAATGACTCTAAATGACTTATTACCATTTAGGAAAGCCACTGGAATCAGTCATTGTGGCAAGTTCTGTGAAAATACTAGCTCAGTACTAAACCTTACTCAAAATGCAAGCACGCAGATGTTTTTAAGATGGGAAAAAGAGTAAAACGAAAGTCATTCTACCGTATGAATCCAGGGTGCTCCTTAAGACACTATGCAACTGTAGCCATTTCAAATACAATTTCAAATACATCACTGAGTTGGAGAAATCAGAGGAAAGCAATGGGGATGGTCAGAGATACAGAGTAACTTCCCTAAATAGACTCTTGGTAAATTGATGGGGGGTAAACAGAGAGGTCTATAAAATCATACATGTTGTAGAGGAGATGAGGGGGGAAAACTGCTGTTTCTCAAAATAAAAACTAGGGAGCACTACATGAAATTATCAAGCATCAGTTTTAAACTGAACAAAAGGATGTTTGCTTTCACCATACAGCTCAGTTGAACTCAAGCAAGCATGACACTAAGAATGACAAAAACTTAAAATGGTTCAAAAGCAATAGAACAAGTTAATAGAGGTCAGATCCATCAGCAATTTTTAGATATCTCTGTTAGGATCCATGCTCAGGACCCTGAACCACTGACAACTGAATGGTTGAAAACTCCTCAGAACAGACGGCTACTCTGCAAAACAGTGCTTAAAATTTTTCAACAGCTCCACCCAAAACATACTGATTTCTTCTTCCCTGCTTTCTTCAAAAGAAGCTATGCGCTTCAACTTGCTACCTTTAAACTTGACCCACTGGAAAACCAGTTACCATAAAACAAGCATAATCTCTGCTGTATCAATTACTAAAAGAAAATGAAGTGTCAGGAGTCCCTTGTACTTTTCAAAGTCTCAGGCAACTTGCTCAGCAAACAAGTGGAAAACTTACAAGTCAGAAATGTTTTGCCCCAGGCATTACCACAAAAGCATGAAAACCCATCAAGCCAAACTGAAAAAGCTGCCCTCATCCAACTACTCTGCAGTGACAACACACCACAGGATATCACTGGATTTATTCTTGCTATTGTGAGATGTACTGCTGAAGTGCCCCCATTTTCAGAAATATTCACATTTTTGAGCCTTAATTTCTACAGCAGCCATTGCAAAGGCAATGGGCCATGTGTTCAGCCTATAGAAGATCAGGATTCAATCTGAACTTCCAAAAATCAGGCCTAACAAGAGGAACCTACCAAGTAAGGAGGAACTTGGCTTTTCAACAGCTTAAGATCATTTGGTGTCAGACTCATTATCAGGGAAGTTCGAGGCCTAGTTCTTCCATCAACAGAGATTAGATACAGGCACATCACTTAAGTTTGGATTCATCCTGCCCAGTTTTAGGCAATGGAAGTGCCCCAGTTCGGAGCCCAAGATCCCTCTACACTGATGGGGGGATACCGAGTAGAGAGGTGCATGTCTTGCCCCCCTGCCTTGTAGAAGTGGGATAACACCAGATTTTACCTCTCTACTACAGGAATTATATCTGAATAAAGGATATAGTCATGCAGAGAACTATGGGACTCAAAGATCAAAAGAGGAAATAGTTTTAAACAACTACATTTTCAAGCATTATGACATTGATTCTTCTAACACAGTATTCACTTCCTAATGAGCACCATATTACTGCATTGACTACCAAAGACAAACTAGAACATAATTACATAAACTCTGCTACAAGCAAATGGAGTCTCGACACGTCAGTGGAGTCTCAATTACAGAATTTCAGCAAATCTAGCCAGTCCTAGGCAAGGGGAGTTGAGGGGAACTTGAACTATGCTATAACCAAGTATTGGCAGATACCAAAGTGCGTCTGTCAGTCACCCACTAGCTGTTCACTCAAATTTGGACTCTTGTACATTTTTATGCATGTGTTTTGGGGTATCAACAATTCTTCACATGTAATGGGAGAAAACACAATTCCGCAGTTTACATGTATAAAGGTAACACTGCTGTTGATTGGAGTTTCTTCCAATTCACACCAAGTGATGTGGAATCAGGAATGCATCTGGGATTATATCAAAGAAGATTATTTCCCCCTTTCCCCCGTCAACTTTCATAAATCGGCAAAAGCCTCCAGTGTCCCGGAGAGGAAAGGGGCTGGGGGCCTCTGGGAGCAGTGGAAGGGCATCTACAAGAGTGGTTGAGAGCATCTCGCTAAGCCAGACATTTCATAACAGTGCACAAATTGTACGTCCAGCTTAGCGCGGAGATGCTGCAAATGGTCTTTCACCCTTTGAGCCAATTGTTAGCTTTTCACAGGAACCAGCAGGGAAGCACATGTGAAACCTCTGTGGGGCTGGTGAGTGTCTCCATGCCTTGTGTGACTCTGCATGTAGATGAAGCAGCTTCGGCTTTCGGAGCTGCTGCTGCTTAGTTCTCAGAGAAGTCCTTTTCTCCCGCTTGGCTCCCTGCTGCGACAGTCCTTTTCAGTCTTTCTATCCCTCCCCAGTCTCTTCTCCTGCACAACACAGGGAAACTTGATTGAAATAAAGACCTAAGAGAACATGGTTTATTTTCTTCTCTTCAATCCATTTTAGAAAAGATTTTTAATTGGTTTTAAAAAAGATGCTATACAAAATGCAATGTTTTTCAGTCTTCCTGAACTAGTAGTAATAGATACCACTATTTAAGCATTGCTGAGTGGAACTAGCAAGAATGAGCTCTGACCAGGAATTTAAAGCAAACTCAGAGATGTTTCTAGTTTCTTTAAAGTCGAACATGTTTACTCTCAAAACTTCTGCAAAGTACAAACAAGGCAGAAAGCCCAGAAAACCAGAAGCTTCAAGAATCTGCCCTTCCCACACCACGTTAAAGTCATATAGCCTCAATAGGAAGAGGGGAGCCTGGGAGGCAGCTTTCATACACCAATTCAACAGAGACATATACCTCAATGCATAATTAATAAGATTTCATCCCAGAAATGCTCCTCTTACACATGTAGCCTACAGTAATTGTAGGAAACTGCTTGCACATTAAGTATACTCTCTGCAAGTGATGTGACAACACCGTGTGAATACATAATCTGGGCCACAAAGATGGGAGCAGCAGAGCTGCACTGCTGAAACGCACCCTCCGCTTCCCACTCACTCATTGCTTGTGGTTTCAACTGCTTCATCGTTCCGGTTTCTAAGCTCTTCAAATTCAACTCTATATTTCAGGCTCCTCTGACTAGTGAAACGGTAAAAAGCCTATCTGATAGCAATGGAGAACAGGGTATTGTCTCCCCAGCATCTTGCCAACGATTTCTCTCAGCACAGGGACGTGCCTGGCACGTCCCAGGACGCTCCATTTTTACAAGGAATGAACCTAAACCATGATCCCAATCCCACAGAAATTCATGTTGGTTCGACCTCATGGAGCAGGTTAGTACCACTGATGCTATTCATGCACATTTAAAGCATGTATCTGAACCTCAAATTACAACAACCCCCACCCCAAAAAACAGCCATTACTTCCAATTAAATTGCTCCCCAAAGGAAATAGTCATCTCAGTGGGGACTTGGAAAGGCATTGATTAACCAGCAGTATTATCTCCCTTGTGGGTTTCCCCACTTGACCTTACAACCCCGAGTCTCTATGCCCAAATTCAATCTTTTTCATGGTAAACATTCACAGCAGAAAAGGCCTTTTCCTGCATAACTCTACCTCTTATACACTGCTGGGTTTGTTTTTTTTAATGAAAAAAAAATCCCCATGTGCCATGACTATCACAGGGAACTCACAATGAACATGCTAGGAAAAACCCTATCATCAGAACTGCCAAACTAGGTCAGCCCAAAGGGTCCGTCTAATCCAATGTCCTAACTTCCACAGTAGCCAACAGTGGACACTTAAAAAAAAAGAAAAAAAACCCACATCATCAATCAAACAGTGACATTTCCTCAGAAAACTCTGTCTCTACCCTCCAACAATTTATGGCTTAAGTCACCGTAATATTGGCTGTCAACCCCAAGTCTTCCAGCCTCAAGGGCATTTCAAACATTGCAAAGTACAAATCTCTAGCAACATGCATAAACTTGGCAAATATCTGAGAGCTTCAAGCCCTGCATCCTGCTTTCAGGGAGACTCAAGTGCCGACAAAAGTGCATCTAAGCAGCAAAACACATTCAGAGGATGCAATGATAAAATGGACAATTTAATATTTTAAGTTCCTTTGACAACTGAACCAAATCAAGTTCTGTTTTCTCCTATTGATTTATGGGAACAATCATTTCCTGGTACTGTGGGAAAAACTAGCAATGGGTCAATGATTACATGAGATTATGACAATCAAAAATGGTTATGCTGTTGCGTACAGGCAACCTTCCCGTTCCAACGTATGTGATAACGGAATCCAAGTTTTATATTAGAGACTTCACATGGCATAGAAAGCTCAGTGGGAAAAATCTTTTTTCTCCCAGGTTGACAGTCACAAAGGGAACTTCAGGGCCTGTGGCATCACAATTTAGTTCAAAGTTCTATATTTGAAAGGTCTTTTTACCAAACTCTCTAATGAAAACAATGCTTACACATACGTTACTGTTTCCAGGATATTAAAAATTACAAAAAAACCTACTTCATCCAGGCTGTGCTTCTCTGCTTTTTCCTGACACTAACTTTCAAGGTTTTCCTGTATGTTATTTATTCGTGCAGATACTGTCACACACACAGAGCAGAATTCCAGTGAACAACAGGAGAAATGGCAAACAAAAAAGAAGAGTCCCTGCCTGCTTGTCTCATTCAGCACAAGCTTCAGAAATGTTATCACTTGTGATGTTCTTAAATCTCATCAAGTCAGAAAGTGCAAATACACAGGATCAGCACAAGATGTAAGATCTTAAGCTTTCCTCACCCATCATAATTAACACCTGATAATTTCAATTTAAGAACAAATTAAAACCCTGACATCCACAATCATACATTACTTAGAAATTGATTTCTAAATAAGGAGGGAGCACATGGTTGAGCCAGGGATTGATTTGGACTAAACAGTTCCTTAGTTAATCAGAAAGTAGACAGCTTGCACGTTTACGTTTTACATGAGGAAGGTTAAACTTGTTTCCTTAGCAGTATTTTTATGGCTAACTGCAGAAGATTCAGCCTTAAGTAATTAGATAATTAAAGCTGAATCCTTTGTGGTTATCCTAGAAATGTCTAACTGAATGAACAGCAGCAGGCTAGGATTAACTTGACTGAATCGGAGACAATAGCACTAATACCACTGGCAGCACAGCAGCTATCAGCAAGACACAAAGCTCTCCACTGTCAAAATTTATAGGAATAGGGCATCCCATCCTTCGATTACTTTCTTACCTGAGGGGGGGCCTTCTTTAGCAGTACAAGAAGGGCTTGCAAGACCAGATTAGAGAACCGTGGTCCGATTGGGACATAATCTGAAATGAAAAATGCATTTTAATGCCCACTAAGCAGATACACATTTAAGCCACTTCACTGTATAAAAAAAAGTTCAAGGTTCCTGAAGTAAATGGTTCCAGATCATTTCCAGTTTGCAGTATTTCAATACCGCAAATACTTCAATATTTCTGCACAGCAGACAACATAGCTCTCTCTCAGCATCCTAACTCACCTAGAAGTCTCTCAATGTCGTCCACGACAACACAGCTGAGTTGGGACTTGTATGCATCATCAAAGATCTAAAAAACAGCAAAATGACTCATTGTTAAATCTCAGCAGCAAAACTACAATAGTCATGATAGGACCTGTTGACGTGTTTTTAGCTAAACACAGCAGTATTTAGAGGAATAAACAGAGAATGAAGAAGATAAGTACCAAGAGACTAGACTCTACCTGCACTTAATAAAACATTACCATCTCAACAAATTCAGAGCTCAGTTTTCTTCATTTACCCCATACACTTTGTAAAAAAGGCAGCTGCCCTGCATTTAATTGTAAACAATGGATTAAAATAGAGCACCACTCCTCTGTTTTTTGGAGCTGGGGCAATACTGATAAGATAACAACACACACACAAATCCCCCACAATTGTAAGGCAATTATGAAGCTTTTCTACCCAGGCTGGATATTGGCTGCTTTTCACAACAGCATACTGCAGGGAGAACAGACCTACTCAGGTATAGATTGAGCCTCCACATCACCCTTTACAGAGCAGCAAACCAGTGTCCTGCAAAGCTTTGGATTTAAACAATAAGTAGCACTAAGGACATCAGTGGTACTGCAGGCCTATCTCCAGCATATGCTGATTCAAGTGAAGTCCAAAAAGCTCCTTTTTGAATCTAAATTACAAACGGGGCTTCCAGCTATGAATACATTGCTTCTCTTAGAAACTATGCAATCCTGCAACAAACTGATTTTAGAGTAACATTTCACTTACATGGTTCATTCAGTATCATTCAGCTAGAAGAATAAGTGCTGGCTTGCTTCAGTAAATGAAATCTCCTTCCTTCAACCTGGCTACTTGAAATGATTTAAGATGTCCAACTTGTCTGCATTACCCCTGCTCCCCAAGCTGTTAAAACTCTTGTTTAACTAAACATTACCACCTCAAAACTGTTCCTAGTCTCATTCAGGCAGGATCTATTCTTTCCAAGTGCAACCCTAAGCCCCTCCTGCCTTCACATTTGCAGACGAAGCTCCAGACTTGCTCATCACAGATCAGGTGTTTCATTCCACTGTTAGTCATGGTTACGTATCAGGCCCAATTGGGACAGAGCCTTGAAATTTTCCCTGAGTCACTTTGTGTCAGTGCCACAAAAACATTCATTCAACTTTATAAATATATGCACAGGAATTTAGGACCTACAGAGAGCAGAAAACACAGCCACTAGGGTAATTCACTTTTCCGTTCACTAGAGAACATAGAATTGAATTGTAATCAAGCAAAAGAGTAGGATGCATAAGTACCTTCTTCATAGCTTGGCACTTGGCCGTTTCAGAAAATCCGATCATCTTATCAGGAGAACAGATCTTGATAAAGGGAAAGTTGGATTCTTCTGCTATTTTTGCTGCTAAAGCAGTCTTCCCACTGTGGGGGGGACCTGAAACAAAGGATAAACATAATGAAAAAAAACAGAGAAAACAGCTCTGGTAAGGCTCAGCACAGATGATATTTTAAGCATGCTTATAATCTCATTCAGAGGTATCTGCATTTTGAATTGACCTTTTCTTCTACTTGCAGAAGCAACACACTAACTCCTAGTGCAATCCAGTCCTCCAGATGAAGGAAATTAATGCAAGTATTTGAGCACATGCAGACTGATTTGCCATGAAACCAACACAAAAGAGGACGTTACACATTTTGTAGGACTGGCCACTGTACCAAAGTTAGCATGTGTTTGTATTTTGGAGAAACTTCTTGAACTATGTTTATGCCCCTTCTAAATATGATTTCTGCAGGTACTGTGGCAAATTAGTCAACAGCATGAATGCCAGGTAAATACTGACAAAGACAATGTGTTATTTGCCTGAATTCACATCAGAATAATTCTAACAGACAAAAGACACTTCTTAATCTATATACCCAATACAAATCAATTTGGAGTGCAAGAAGGTATTGCATACAAGTGATATGTTGGCCACGAGCACACAGAATTATTCAAGTAATCTATTCAAGGTTAATTTCAAAGCTACAGCCTGCTAAAAGCAATCCTGGTAATCCAGATTTTTTTACTTCAGGAAAAGAAAGAGGGAAGCACTATATAACAAATTCTACTCCAGTATCTGTAACATAGATATTGGAACTAGCTTCGTAGACTCTTCATAGTCAATAACAGTCTGGACAGAGGGCAATCCACCTCTAACAGCAGACATCTAAATGTGGCCAGGCAAACTGTTGTCTGAACTCAGCTAATTACACTGATGAGCTCTCCCATGACTTCAAAGAGAATTTAGACAACTAACTCAGCTAGAGATGTTCACACTGTATAGCATCCACATTTCGGTTAACTGGGTACATTCACTTCTCCATTGTTCAGAGAACAGGATTTCTCTCAGGTTGAGAAGCCAGTTTTAATATCTAAAGCAATTTTACTCAAGTAAACTGAAAGAGCAATTCTGGTTCCCCCCCCATGTGTTACTTTTATGTACAGTTGCAGGATGTAACAGATGACCACTTGGTAACTGATAGGAATAGTTTACAGAAGTCACTTGGGGTTGGTTTTTGTTTTTTTTTTTCCTTAAATTTACCTTCTAGAAGAACGCTAACCAAGGGAGTGCGGTCGCTGTTCTTAGTTTGTTGAACAAGCAGCTCCCCATCATCCAATACCCTTGTTACTGGATCACCCCACTTAATAATACCATTCATGATGTAGCTTGCATAGTCTTCCTGGTTGGTTCCAAACGCCTGTATTAACAGAGGGGAACATGTATTTTAGCGAGAAATTTTGCATTACATCAGAAAAACATGAAACAATTAAACATCACCAAAGTGACCAGGACCAAGACTCTGGAAAATGCTTAAGTGAGACAGTCAGTACTGGAAGACCCATTGGTGACATGTACCCTCATATTTCATATACCCTCAAAACAAATTCTGATCATTGCAAGTGGCCAGTGGGTTCTGAATCCACAGCATTTAAAGACGATTCTCAAAAACAAGGCTTAAACCTCTTACTACAGTCCATATTAAAGCTGTCATCCATTAACTGAAGTAGCCTAAAATGCAGAGTGTACATACAACAAACGAGAAGAAATTCCAAGTTGCTCTTTTTATTTGTTCTATTCCTTCTTATGATTCTTGCATGCAACAGAAGGTACAAAACAGAGCCTTAGCAATGCAGGCAGAAGGAGGCTCCCTACTTTAATTCCTACAACACAGGACACAGTATGTCAGCCCATGGTGCACCACTGCATGTCTGATCCCAGAAGGAAGTTGCTATCTCATGTCATTAACTGTACTGGGTGACTATTACAGGAGTTACATAATGCCTACTTACTGGTTTGATATCATTCTCCAATGATGCAAAGAAGTCTCCTCTTGTCACACGCAAGCTCTCTGCCTTCTCCATATCCACTTCCACTTTGTTGCTGGCCTAATAAAGGCAATAAAAGACACTGAAGTACAGCAGCACCGCATACAACCTCTTCCATCCCCTTCCAACTTCCATCCACAGATCCAACCCTGTAGCTGGTCTGTGTCAATAAGAAAAATGCTTCTTAACAGGACATTTGTTGGACATATGCTGGATACCACTGGAGCAATCATCACCTTCACAGAACGACATCATATGCCAGCCCCACAAAGTCATTAAGTAACAGTTGCTCCACTCCACTGGGTGGAAAGCTGAAGTGAAGAGTATGGCCATGACCTCACATTTCAGAGAAGCCATCCCAGCTAAGAACAAGATGGAAGATCTGCACCATCCTTGCTGCTATACTACCTTGACTACATAAACCAAATATCAGTGAGGCTCAGACTGGTGCCCAGTGTGGGACTTAATCTCACCTAATTTCTAAAAGTTACTGGAGTTATGTAAGTTCCCTTTAGAGTAGGGAACTACTCTTTCCATTTAGAGGCTGTAGAAAAAAATCTTCATTATGCTTTCTGGGTGCTGCATGGGAAGGGGAAGCCTCATTCATTGCATGACTTTTTTCAGAAAGACAAATTAAAGTTTGGTTTAACCCAACTCTGAATCTAGTTCACATCATCTTTGGCAACTAAGCCAAAAATAAGAGTTATTCACACACCTCTATTTCAGAAGGTTTTAGCTTTCTATTCAAACCAAGCACTTTCCTCTCCATACAAGAAAGTCTTTAAGGGGACTGGTAAATACTAGTTTTCTTTCTGCTTTGTCTTCATTTGCTTCAGTTCTATGAAAGCCGTGAATCTTCCCAGGGCAGCACTATCAGTATTACTTGGAATAAATAACCTGCAGTTAGCTCAGCTCATAGTGGACTCCTTTCTATATGAAAAGCATCACCTTTTTCCCTTCTGCCATTCCCAAACCATCCAGCAACACTTAAAAGCTAAAGACTGGAAGCAAACACACAGCAGAGACAGCACTACTGCAATCTTCTCTTGTAAGGAATTTCTCAATCACAACTAGACATACCACTAGGAGGTGGCCCAAAGCTGCTCACTCTGGAGCCAGTAGAAGTTTTTAATTCTTGAAAACAACTTGAGAGTAGCCTTCAAAGCTGAAGACTTTATTCAGATGTCTGTAGACTTCAAAGCCAGCTGTAGATGTATTACTGAGTATAGCTGCAGCTCCACAATATGGAGCAGCTCCATTTACTAGGATTATTTGTAGACCTGCTAGTACATTGATTGCCTCGGGCAGCAACCACGAATTAAATTGATTTAATCATGGAATCATAGAATACCAGGTTGGAAGGGACTCTCAAGGATCATCTGGTCCAACCTTTCTTGGCAAAAGCCACATCTAGACAAGATGGCCCAGCACCCTGTCCAGCCGAACCTTAAAAGTGTCCAATGTTGGGGAATCCACCACTACCCTGGAGAGATTATTCCAATGGCTGATTGTTCTCATTGTGAAAAATCTTCCTTGTGCCCAGTTGGAATCTCTCCAGGAGTAACTTATAACAATTACCCCTCATCTTTTCCATGTGACTCCTTGTAAAAAGGGAGTCTCCACCTTCTTTGTAGCCACCCTTTAAATACCGGAACACGGTGCTAAGGTATTCCCTAAGCCTTCTTTTATCAAGGCTGAAACAAACCCAGTTCTCTCAGCCTTTCCTCATATGGCAGGCTTCCCAGTCCTTTGATCATCTTTGTGGCCCTTCTCTGGACCCTCTCCAGCCTGTCCACAGCTTTTATACATACTGGGGACCAAAACTGAACACAGTATTCCAGGTGTGGCCTGACAAACACTGAGTGGAGTGGGATAATGACTTCTTTATCTCTGCTGGTGATGCCCTTGTTGATGCAATCCAGCATCCTGTTGGCTTTTTTTGCCACAGCAGCGCACTGTTCACCCATATTGAGCTTGTTGTGCACCAGGACCCCCAGGTTCCTTTCCACAGAGCTGCTCCAAGCCAGGTAGATCCCAGCCTGTGCTGCACTCCTGGATTATGTTTTCCCACGTGCAAGACCTTACACTTGTCCTTGCTGAACTTCGTAAGGGTCTTGTTAGCCCACTCTTCCCGCCTATCCAGGTCTTCCTTCAGGGTGGTTCTCCCTTCCAAAGTGTCCACTTCCCCACTCAGTTTGGAATCATCAGCAAACTTATCAGGGTACACTTGATCCCATCATCTGGATCACTTATGAAGAAATTAAACAGCGTTGGGCCCAATATCGATCCCTGGGGGACCCCACTTGCGACAGGTTGCCAGTTTGAAAAGGAGCTATTTACCACCACCCTCTGGGTGCAGCCTGTCAGTCAGTTCCCCACCCACCACTTGTCTAGACCATTACACATCAGTTTCTCTAGGAGGAGGTTGTGGAAAAACACATCAAAAGCATTGGAGAAATCCAGGTGGACAATGTCCAATGCTCACCTTTTCTACTCAATGGCATACAAAACCTGGCTATTGCATACTAATCCTATGATTACAGTCCGCTGAGGATCCCGAGTGGAGTTCGATATATCAGAAAAAGGATTAGTTACAAGAGGGGGCAGAAGCTGATCTGTGAAAAGCAATTCATCTAACTGTTAAGTGGTAAGGCAGAAACCTATTTTGTAAGTAGCATAGAGAGAAGGCAAAAGATCTTCATTCTTTTCCACTAAAGTGCAGCCTTGAAAGACTTTTGATAATTTCTGAATTTCCCAATTATACCATAACAAATTTCTCTAGATTCCAAAACAAATATAATTTTCATTGAAAGTTACCCAAGTCTTACTACACCAGCTGCTTCTACCTGAGAGTATAGTAGCCCTACCTGATCTGATAGCTCAGGAAGTAAAAATTTGGGATTTCAAAGGGTTTCTTGGAAGGCATAGCAACCTCTATCACCTTTGCTAAAGACCAAGGTGATGGACGAGTCAAATAACTTTAACCCTCAAAGACATGTCTGAGACATCCTCTTCTGACCAGGATGATCTACAAGAACAAGGAGTACACTTGAGCATGGGAAGGAAAAAATAATAATAAAAATAATCACATTATGCCTGTCTTGTAGAGTAGCACATGCAGCCTCTAAACAGCAACCTCAGGAACCCAGACTGGCCAATAACATTGTGCCAAACAAATAACTATAACCAGAGGATGGCTGAAATGAAAGAGTCCCTTCTCACAAAAACACCCACCAAGCAGAAATACAGGATGCCAAATGTATCAACCTAGTGGATCTTTAGTCTGTACTTTGAGTTGATCACTCTTCTACTTTGCAGAGGGAAGTGAAGGTACTTGAAACACTTAATATATTCCTGAAGTTGTTTGTACACTTAAAAACAGGGGGAGTTCTTTCTTTCCTAGCCTTTAATGAGTGACACATTTTAATTTTTAACACACACACACACTTTGAGAGATTATCAGAAGAGTTTAAATGATTCAGAATAATAATGCCCCTTGATTTTCAATGTGTGCTCTTGCTTCTCGTAGGTGCTTCTGAAAACTAGGTCAGGCCTATGATGTATATTTTAAATTTTGCAGTACTTGTAGGAGAGAATAAAATACCTTCGTGCATCATTTGGCTGAAGACATCTTCAGAATAAACAATAAGATTATCCAAAAATACTACGTCAAAGTGTTTGAAAAGAAAAACAAAGCATGGCTGCTTCGCATTTGGAATATACATACATATATTATTAAGATGTCAATCACATACCAACCTAACGGAGGGGACTGCTCTTTTGCATTTATGCATTACCGTTTTCTCTTCTCCCACTGTGACATTTTGGCACAACAGCAAATATATCAAAACACTAATGGTCCCCAAACTCACCCAAAATTCAAGCATTGAAAAAACATTAACTATGAGCAAAATTAATTATTTAAGGAAAATGTTTTGCCTGCGAAAGGATGAAAATACCTCCAGAGGTGCTGACTTCTTTTTTGAGACAGAACACAAGAAAATGAGAAACTGTTGATGTTTGTAGGTTTTTGCTATAGGAAACAATTAATAACTTTTCAAGTATTATGGCTATACAAGAAAAATTAGCAGAAAGAGCCATTTTTCCTTTAAAAAGGGTGCTCCCAAGAGATACGAATGTCTAAGCAACAAAATGATTTCTCTCACTTAAATGAAAGCATGATTTGCTTTCCTCATATTCAAGGCTGAACAGACTTTTTACTTAAAATACACCAGTGCTGTGGAATTGATGTCAAAGCCTTTTCTCTGCAGTAATTCACACCAGTTCTTGGCCACTAGAGCAAAGGGGCTGTGCCTTTCAGCCTCCTTCTTCACAAACTAATCATCTCATATTTCAACACCATCGAATACTGTGTTTTGCATCTGGATTAATATAACCTGACATTTCATGGTCCTTAACTCCCTTCTAGTTAAAGATACACTGACCTCCCATAATCAGGAAACATTGGGAAAACAAGGCAATGTTCCTCTAGATGGAGGGAGCTGAGAACATTACAAGTCTCTATGGACACTGAGACCATCAAGTGAGTTTTTATTTGAAATGGAAGATGTTGTACAAGCCCCTTCTGAATTCAACCAAGATTTTAGCATCAGCAACATCTTGGAGCAAACGATTCTTTCCACAGCTTAAATACTTCTTCACACAATGCACATCTCCTTTTCTTTGCTTCGATCATGGCCGTGTGTCCTGGTTTCAGCTGGGATGTAGTTAACTGTCTTCCTAGTAGCTGGTACAGTGCTATGTTTTGAGTTCAGTATGTGAAGAATGTTGATAACACTGATGTTTTCAGTTGTTGCTCAGTAGTGTTTAGACTAGAGTCAAGGATTTTTCAGCTTCTCATGCCCAGCCAGGGCACCTGACCCAAACTGGCCAACAGTGTATTCCATACCATGTGACGTCCCATCTAGTTTAGGAACTGGGAAGGGGGGGCAGGGAATCACCACTCGGGGACTTGCTGGGTGTCGGTCGGCGGGTGGTGAGCAATTGCCCTGCGCATCATTTGTACATTCCAATCCTTTTATTACTACTGTTGTCATTTTATTAGTGTTATCATTATCATTATTAGTTTCTTCTTTTCTGTTCTATTAAATCGTTCTTATCTCAACCCAGGAGTTTTACTTCTTTTCCTGATTTTCTCCCCCATCCCACTGGATGAGGGGGGAGTGAGTGAGCGGCTGCGTGGTGCTTAGTTGCTGGCTGGGGTTAAACCACGACACCATGGCTGGTATCGTTTGCTGTTCTCCGAGTTCTTGTATTAGGAAAGAGTAAACAGTCATTCCCCATTCACTGATTCCAGTACGCATGTTTTCACATACTTTTCATAACCCTTCACCGTATTTTTTTCAGGCTGAGAAATCCTAGTCTAACCATTCTTCCAGTGAAAACCTTCCTATACCTCTGAGCTTCCCAGCTGCCTTTCCAAATCCTAGTTCTACCATAACCTTTCCAAGGTGGGTTTCCCAGGACTGCACAGATTCAAATATACCAGGGATTTTATCCATGACATAATCACAGCCTTACTTTTGCTCTGCATACCTCTTCGAGTAAATTCTAATGTTGCACTTGCTTTTTTCACTGATAAGGACTGAGCTGATATTTCAAGATCATTATAACTCCAAGAACTCGACCCCAAATAATGGTCAGGTCAGTCCCTATCACTGCCTATATCTTTTTGAATTTTGTCCCCCCAATGTACATTTAAATTCACTGACTACAACTTGTGCACTTGCATTATTTCAAATGCCTTCTGCAGTTTTCCATAGGTGGCCTTCATCTTTATGGCCACAAAACAGCTATGAGTTTGCAATCTCGCTTCTCTCCTCTCTTTGCAGATCATTTATGAATATACTGAGCTGCACAGGCTCCAGCAGAGATCCCTCCCATATGACTGGCTGTTCTCAATTCCAACTCTTGTCTCCTGGCTCCAATCCATAAACTGAGCTCAAGACCTTCCTTTCAGTTTTTATCAAAATACATTTACAAACAATCACTTTCCATTCCCACTGAGCTATGCAAGACCAACTTGGAGGTCAGGAGATGAAAGAGGTAATTCAGAACCATGTAAAAGCACAGTGAAAAGGTGGTGTCCATATGAATTTCATCTCCTAAAATATGCTGAGATGCCATTACCCATTTGAAAGTAAACATTCAAGAAAAGATTCCAAATGTAATGATCCTCCCTTTTTTGCCACGGTGAGAGATGACAGGACTGACCTTAATGTGCCTGTTCATAGCAGTAGACTGAGCAGCTCGAACTAAACCTTCTAATTCAGCACCACTGAAGTTTTTAGTCTCAACTGCCAGTTCTGCAATGTCCACATCTTCAGCCAGCAGCTGGTGTTCCCGCATCCGTACTGTGTGGATATGAAGAATCTGAAATCGACCTTTCTCGTCCGGCAAGCCTGAGATTTTAAACAGAAAGCATGTCAATGAGTGCCTCGGCACAGCAACTGCAGCAAAGCCTTCCCCTCTCCTCAGTGGTCCTAATTCCAAAGGCTCTTTCTCACCATGAGCTATTCATTCTTATAAGTAGAATATTTGACAATGCTTTTTGTTTGAGAACATTCAATTACACTAATTGCCCTTGGCAAACTGATTAGCATCACCACCAAACTAGAGAGAAAAAGCATAAGGTTTAGTTTCTTTCCTCGGGGTTGCTTCAAGTTGGTTGCTCTTAGGCTTCCACACCAGGAATTCACTTTAGACAAAGGCAATCTGGTCAGTCCCTTGGCATCCCTAAACCCAATTCCCATCTTGCAATTATCACAGAACCATAAAACCAAAGAATAGTTCGGGTTGGAAGGGAACTTTAAAGATCTAATCCACCCCCCGCTGCCATGGGCAGAGACATCTGCCACTAAATCAGGTTGCTCAAAGCCCTGTCCAATCTGACTTTGAACACTTCCAATGGTGGGGTATCCACAGCTTCTCTGGGCAACCTGGTCCAGTGCCTCGCTACCCTTATCGTAAAACATTTCTTCTTTATATTCAATCTAAACCTGCCCTCTTTCAGTTTAAAACCATTGTCCCTTGTCCTGTCATGACAGGCCCTAGTAAAGTCTTCCTCTGTCATTCTTATAAGCTCCCTTTAAGTATTGAACAGGCACAGGAAGGCCTCCCTGGAGCCTTCTCTTCTCTGGGCTGAAAAACCCAAACTCTCTCAGGCTCTGTTCACAGGAGAGGTATTCCAGCCCTCTGACCATTTCTGTGCCTCCTCTGGAGCTACTCTAACAGGTCCATGTCTTTCTTGTGCTGAAGACCCCAGAGCTGGGTGCATTGCCCTGGGGGATCTCACAAGAGTGGAATAGAGGGGGAGAATCCCCTTTCTTGACCTGCTGGCCACAATTCTTTTGATGCAGCCCAGGACATGATTGGCTTTCTGGACTATAAGCCCATGTTGCTGGCTCATGTCCAATTGTTCAACCACCAGTATCCCCAAGTCCTTCTCCACAGAGCTGCTCTCAATCCATCCATCCCCCAGTCTGTGCTGATGTTGGGGACTGCCCTGATATTGAGCCATTGACTGTAACTCTTTGGACATGGCCATCCAGCCAATTCCTTATCCACCTAATGGTCCATCCATCAAACTCTTATCTCTCCAATTTAGTGGCAAGAATGTTGTGGGGCACCTTATCAAAGGCCCTACAGAAGTAGCTCGTCCCTTATCCAATAACGCAGTCACTCCACCATAGAAGGCCACTAGATTAGTCAGGCACAATTTGGCCTTTGTGAAGCCATGTTGGCAGTCTCTAATTCCCTCCCTGTCTTCCACGTGTTTCAACATATCTTCCAGGAGAATCTGTTTCATGATCTTATTGGGCACTGAGGTGAGGATAACTGATCGGTAGTTCCCAGGGTGCACCTTATCACTCTTTTTTAAAATAGGCGAGATATTCCCTTTTCTCCAGTCACTGTGGACTTTGCCTGACTGCCATGACTTTTAAAATATGATTGAGAGTGGCTCAGTGACTACATCAGCTAATTCCCTCAGGACCCTAGGATGCATCTTATTGGGTCCCATGGTCTTGTGTATGTTCAGGTTCCTCAGTGGTCCCAAAATTGATCTTCTCTCACGATGGGAGGGACTTCATTTTCCCAGTCCTGCCTTGAGGATCAGGGACTTGAGAGATGAGAAGAGTGATTATCAGTGAAAACTAAGGGGAAAAAATTGTTGAATACCTCAGCCTTCTCTGTGCTGGTTGCCCCTAGTTCTCCTGTCTTATCTGTCAGGAGGGGATGGGGGTGTACATTTTTTTTAATCTTCCTTTCCTGGCCAACATATCTTTAGAAGCCCTTCTTACTATTCTTCACATCCCTTGCCAAATTCAGCTCCAGCTGTGCCTTAGCTCTCCTGATCCCAACCCTACACATCCAGGCAGCGTCCCTATATTTTTCCCAGGATACCTGTCCTTGGTTCCACTGCCCGTGCATTTCCTTCTTACACTTTAGTTTGACCAGGAGGTCCTTACTGAGCAATGCTAGTCTCCTGCCTTCCTTGCCCAATTTCTTACATGTGCGAATCAAGAGTTCTTGCGTGCTAAGAAAAATGTCCTTAAAGAGCTGCCAGCTCTGTTCTGCTCCTTTATCCCTCAAGGCAGTCTCCCAGGGGGTCCCATCCACTAATTACTTAATCAACTGAAACTTCACTCCCCTAAAATTCAGGGTCTTGACTTCAGTCTTCACCTGGCCCATACCATTCCCATAAAATTTTCATTTTCTCCAATTGAGGTGATAATTTCCCAGTTTGCACCTTAGCAAGTCCCTTCTGAAATGCATACAATGGAAGATATAGAAAAGCCTTTTCTTAAAAGAAAGCGTAACAAGTCAGTCTGGTACATCATCATCTTGGTAAAACCATGCTGCTGTTTAGCTCACTTTCCAGCCGACCTTCACAGCTTTTATTACAAGGATCTGATAATTTGCACTGATTAGTATTTGTGCTGAGGGTATGTGAAAAGATATTTTAAAATGTGCATAGTCCCCAGCAGTGTTCAGTCCTTATCAGCTGATAATTTATTCTAGGGATGCATTGCTCAGTCCTTGGAATTTATTTAATTTAATTAATTTTTGTCAACTAAAGATGCAGGTACTACATCTGCAATACAAGCAATCTCACCTGTGTTTACTAATAACAGTTGCTATTAGGCATGTGTTTTCAAGTATGAGATTGTTCAAAGGCAACTGTCATTGTGGCTACACTTCTTTATCCCTAAAGTACACTTTCTTTATTGAGTCTTTCCTTCAATTCCTTGTAGTTATGTTAATTTCTGAAGACTGTATCTGGCTACAGTTTTTGCCAATGCTAATTCTCTCTCATTACTATTCATCAGCCTGACTTCTAATAATTCTCTGTGTACTGCTATACACTTCTATACACTTCCAATTTTCCTTTTTTTGTGGATTATACCAGGAACAGGCACAAGTCTCTTTCAGTATTTTTTCCTACATCTAACAAATGTCTTAGTCTCTTCAGTCTCTGGCACATTTTAAACCATCCATGCTGTCTGTGCCACAAGTTTTTAAACCCCAGCTAGTGCTCTAGTTGTCTCTCTAGTCCTCACATCTTGCATGAGCTACATGCACAGTAATGCCTGATATAAACTGTTTCCTGCAGTACTCAAGGACAGCATTAACTCCGGAGCATTAGCATCAGCTCCCTGCCCAGGTTACCTCTGCAGCTGCCTCAGTAGTCATCAGCTTCACTTCCTCATTCCTTCTCTTACCTAAAATCTTTCCCTTTCAGCTATCAAAAAACTCCTTCCTGTTTCTGGCTCTTTCAAAGAGTGACATTACCCTTTAAGGATAAGAGAAAAAAATCCCTAGCAAGCTCTTAAGATTACATTGCTAGATCAGATTTCAAGAGTTTCCCTGCAGTTCAGACCGGCATTGACAATTACAATCTTGCCTGCCATCCTAGTATGATATCATATGATTTTTAGTGTTATATGGACATTTTCATCTAATTTTCTGCAACTGAAAGGAAACAAAACATAATACTCATGGCCTTACCTGTTCCTTTTCTGTGAATCACTACAGTTTGAGAATTTTTACCTTTACAATAGTCAGTGCCTAGCTCAGAACATAGAAAATATTTTGTGACATTTGTATGTCTGTGGAAGGTTAGGGGAAAATGTTTTACGCACTCTTCCAAACTAAACATCTGAAACTGCATATTCAATCTCTATATTAAACACAGATCTTAACCAATTTGAGTTTCTCACTACAAGACAGGATCATTAAGCTTTTAATCAGTTCCAGGCTATTCTCTATTCAAACTTTATTCTGTGAATTGTTAATCTCAGAACTGAGCACCACAACCTACCTACTCTTTAGACTCCACCATGATCTTTACTGATCAAACTTTTGATCTCAAATGCAAAGTCAGAGACTTGTTTTCATGAATCAAAGATGGTCTGGGCTTAATTTCTTAATAAATCCTACATTATCAGATATTCCATTATTTAATCTGCATTGGTGTCAGGCAGATACATACAATTACAAAAGTCCCTTTTAAGTTACTGACAGATAGCATTCTTTTCCAGCTCACTAGAATAAATGGCTAACAGAGCTCTTCGGCCCACTTTTAGTTCTGTTGATACAAGTAATCCAGACCTGCTGATTTCAGAAGCCAATAGCCAATGCTGTTTCACATTTGCAGTTCCTGCAGTGAAAGTCACCAGTATCACTTCATGCAAATAAAATGATCTGCACTTTCTCCAAGTCAAGAATTGCCCCCACACTGTACTTGCCTACTCTACAAGTTCAACAGTTCCGCAGTTTCCATGTAGGAATGGTCTGGTGCCATTACTTGGCTCCTTTCATTCATGCAAGAGATTCAGGGTCCTGCCTGCCCATACCTATCCATTCTGCTGGACAGAAACTGATATCAGGTCAATAGCTTATCAGTAGGTAAGTCTAAAATGGTACTTTAATTGGCTGATTAAATTTACATGTAATATTTTGGAGGAAGCTGCATGAAGTTTAGCACCTATGCCATCCTGGTTAATTATTCATATTATGACATACATTTGCTTTACTACTGTAAGTACACACGAGCTCATGTATTGTGATATGCCAACTTGCTTACCAATCTCCATTTTCACCTCCAGTCTCCCTGGTCTCAGCAGAGCCTCATCAATCAGGTCAGGTCTGTTGGTCATTCCTAAATTGAAAGTTAATAACAAAATAAGCATTATCTGAGCTTATTAAGTGGGTTTCCAACTCCTGAATACAGCCCATAGATCTAAGAAGATACCTCAAAGAGTCTCAAGAAAACAGACAAAAGATACCCATCTTCAGAAATATTGGAAAAGTCATGCCCTGAAGTACAGTCAGGGCAACAGGGAACAAACCTGTACTTGTGACTGTATCTGCAGACCTCCTGGCACTAGGACAACTAGACAACACAGCTAGAGAAGCCCCACTCCTCCATAGGCCGATACATCAATGCATATCATTCCTTGCAAGTTTTCTTAAACTATGAAACATTTGTTATCAAAAGCTAAAGGAGGAAATTGTTGAAAGCAGCAATATCAGTCGATTACAGCACCATCTCCCTTTAAATCTGCTACTGATGCTTGTCAAACAGAAGTCGTTCAGCTTGGATTAGTCCAAACAGATCTAATACCAGTAACAGTAACTTAGCTGACCTGCTATGAGGAAAATATCAGCAGTTTTCAACCAGACCCCATAACAGAGAAAGTAAGCACCATCATACCAATCACTAGGATATTATTGAGCTGCTCTACTCCATCAATTTTGGACAGCAACTGGTTTACAACAGTATCATGGACTCCGGTGCTACCCGCCATGCTTCCTCTCTGCTTGCAGATTGCATCAATCTCATCAAAAATGATGATATGCACACCACTGTTTGCTCCAAGCTATTGGAGAGAAAAACATGTCAGGAATGCCACGTCATCACCTAAAACAATCCAAACAAAACAGTAACTTCTCAACAAGCTCAGCCACACAGGTACAGAACATTAATACCTCCAAGTTGTTTTAGTATCACGTTACGTATGTATGAGATCCCTTTCCAGAATAACATCTCGCCATCCTCCAAAACGGGGTGGTTGGTAGGCTTTGCACGAGCATAGGACTTCACAGCTGACACTGGTAAGAGCAGCAGTGTTTCAAGGAAGAGGACTAGACTGAACAAGAAAAGCACAAGCCCAAAGCTGGAACATACAGCTCAGACAAAGGGTCACAGTACTCAGTATCTGGGAAAGCCCTCTGGAACGGAGACAGAGAACAAAACACATCTGTGGAGGGATGCACCCAATGCGGGAAATACCCCAGGTTGTACTAAAGTTAGAAAATATACGGCTTGCCAGAGTAACTTTGTTCTTAATATTTTTAAGGAGTCCATTAGCTCAGTGACAATCGGGAACAGAACTGCTTATTTCCAGGTTCACTCAAAGGTGAAGCAGTTGCAGCTGGTAAGAGAACAGGATACTTTTTGTGACCGTATTATGAAGCTTTTTCCCTTCAAATTCCACTTCTAAAACATCTTTTGTGGACAGTGGAGACCATGTTAACACTGGGTAAATGTGCTGTCACTGGCAATCTGCCCCAGACACAAGTCATTACAATACCAACCTTTTCGAGACCTTTTTAATCTTGCAACTTGTCATCAGGACCATCCCCTCCAGCCAATATAAAGTCTATTTTAACAGGTGTGTTATTGCAGAGGAAAAGAAGCTCGCAGCTTTCAGTTATATTGCAACAACCAGAGAGAAGATTGTTTACATCAGTACAGGTTACCATGCAAAGCTGACTGACTTATTAATAAATCTTTTGCAGAAGAAAATTAAATTATTTCAAGCCACTAGCAAAACCTGCAGTCTTGTTAGGCATAAATAAAATTAAGGGATACAATGTCCTTTGCTAATGTCTTCTGAAAAGACTTCCCTACATTTAACTGTGACTTGCCTGACATTGTATTTTCTTTACCAGAAAATCTATCAAGATTAAGTCATCCACAGCAGAGAAAAGTTACCATAGCACACATGAAATAAGTGTTTACACCTTCTAACTAAAGACTGAGCTTTTGATAGCCAGCTGAAGTAATGGATAAAAAAAAAAGTTTGGAAAAAACCAGAATCTTTATCTCCACTTCCAGTTTCAAATATCTAGACTGTCAAGTTTCAAGACACTATTCTCATCCATCAGCTTTCTGCTGAGAAAAATTAATAATGTATCAATTATAATGCTTCAAGGATTATAATTTACCTACACTAATAAGCCTGTAACCCAAAAACCTGAAATCGTGAAACCTTATTTGAAATTCATCCTATGTTATGTGCCACCTGAATTTAGTAGCAAAAATCCAAATAGATTATGTCTCTCCCACAAAAAAAAACAAAAGAAAAGAAAAAACAGAGCAAAATTTTTGCAATCCCATTTTCAAGCACTTTTTGAGCAGGTGACACACCACATAATACAAAGCATAGCAGGATGGGCCCTACTGTATTACTTTAAAATAACTCTGCATGGAATTTAAACAAACTGTCCATCTTCAGCATAGCTAGCTAGAAGACCGACTACCTCTTCAGGTTCTAAGATCGTTTTTTCAACTGACAGTGTGTGAATCTGTAAAACACTAATATTCAGTGACTTACAAGGAATAACTATAATCACAAGCTAAGCAGTGACTCAGTCTTTTAATGCAAGCAGTAATTTTCTGATTATAAACCTCCTTTCCGGTCATTCTTTAGGCACATTCATACTGACCATGCTATTTATCTATGTTTGCATTACCCTTCTTTGTTCTTCTTCTGCATCAGCAAACAGCTTGCGGATGTTGGCCTCAGATTCGCCCACATATTTATTGAGGATTTCTGGACCATTGACCACCTTTGGTTCTCTGGCATTCAGCATCTTGCCAATCTGTCTCGCCATAAGTGTTTTACCACAGCCTGGAGGTCCATACAAGAGAATGCCTTTCACATGCTTGCAGCCTAGAACAAGAGAGAACAAGTTTAGAAAGCAGGGTTATGATGGTAACAGCAATATATTGAAGAGGAAATTGCTGCTTACAGTAGGGGTGCTTTTACAGGGATCTGGCAGAGATGTGCATTAGCCTTAGCTCTACTCGGTGCCTTTATCAGTGAAATTCAAACACAGAATTGCCAGACTGGATCAGAGTCATTCCAATGATCTGGCAAGGGCCAGGAAAAATAATCCATAGAACAGCACAAATGCTCTCCCATGCATTAGGCATGCTAACTTAATAGCTAAGGACTGAAAGCTTGAATTATAACTTCTTGTTAGTAATACAAAGCAACAGAGATCACTTGGTAAACATGTGAATAACAATTTTCAGTTCAACAAAACCCAAGAGTAGGTCGCACGGATACTGATCATCCCCAGGTACTGAGGAGTTGCAGGTACTTTTTCTACATCACCATATGCCCTGAACACCAAGCAAAGACGTACTAGCAATTTAGGACAAGCATGTACTGCATCTGGTTCATTTATCTCTTCTCCTAGAGGGACACACAGTGCCTACAAAGGTAGCCTTCCTTCACAGAAGAGTTTCAACTGAGTTTAATTTTCAGGTATGTAAGCAAAATGAAGCATCAGACCTTCAAAGTTACTCAACTGACAGTGAGCTCCCAGTGTAGACATAGATCAAACACATTAATCTGATTCTTGAAAGAGAAAATGAGGACTATCATGTAATAATGTCTAACTTCTTAGCCCTGTATTGGGCTTTAATGAGTCCCATATGACACATCTAGTTCTGATAGCAAGTTCATAGGTCAAATATTGAGAAAACCGAAAAAGGCCTCTAAGAACCACTAGAATCATGAGCCCAAAAAGCTTGACCTGTAACTAGAAAGACCTGAAACATTATCATTTATTCAAATAACAGGACTTCAGATCACTGTGCATGAGCACTGGCGTTTAAATTCTCTCCTCTAGGGAAACAGAAGGTATAATGGTTGCAAGATAATGCTGGACACGTCCCATTCAGCAACGGGCACAAGTTTCCTAAGTGTACACACAACTCCTGATAGAAGTTCCCAAGTGTGAACAAGAAAGTTTTCCCTGAAAGATTCTAGAATTTTGGATATGCAGCTTGTGAGCCGCAGACATATGTTATCAACTGTCTGAATATCATTATGCCTGATTATTTCACGCTCTGCCTTATACTTTGCTAAGAGAGGTTGTGGTAACAGCATGTGTCTACAATGAAGTTTGTTTTCTTCATTTAATGGGACTATCAGCATTTAGACAAGATCTAACCAGACAGAAAAAGTAACTGCATCAAGACAAAACCTTTCTCCTGGGATGAATCTGAAGGGGCTGGTGTTGGAAAACCCTGAAACAGGAGAGCAGAGATCATGTATCAGCACTAAGTTTTAAACACTGAGCACCACACTCAGAGAAAGCCTCAAAGTAGAAAGCCACAGTTTCATAGCAGAGGCATCTAACTACAAAAACAGCATAGGAAAATAGAAGTTACCTAGAGAAGACAACACAGGAGCTATATACTGCCCAATTTAAAAGGCATGTACAAGACAGATTCAGCAGGAGAGTGAGTTTGGATATTGTCTGGTCACAGAGTGGTAATGAAAGAGAAGACAGAAACATGTAATTTATTCTGTCTAGATCCTTGTATTTTCAGCAGACCTCCTTTTTCTATTTTCCAGTAGATATTGAAGACCAAAGAGTAAACACAAAACTACAAGCAAACACATTTATTTTCAACATTTAGGACACAGCAGGTATTTCAGTAATTTATTTCTTTCTATGCAATTTCAAGCACAATAGGAAGTATTAGTTCCTCCCTATATCACTTCACTTTGCCCATGGAAAAGACGGCTGTGCAGATAGCAAAACACTCAGCCTACATGGAGTCAAGATGTCCTCCTCATGTTTTAGACCATCTTGGCCACACACAGCACCAACACCAAGTTGACAGACTCCTGCATCTACTGTCCTTCCTCTAGAGTAATAACTAAATCATGCCACTGTCATCCTCACCAACCAGACCAGCGAGGACATCCCAAGGAAAGAGACCCTAAGGAAGCTGAAACCACTGTAGCCTATGGGAAAACAGCACATTTGGAATCTGCCTCAATGAAAATCTCAACTTTGAACACAAGTGTTTAATTACAGAGGTAGGGAATTCAGTAGCACCTTCTCCTTTTCTCTTGCTCCATTTCACTGCTGCACAAAATCCCTACATATGTTCTCCAGACAAGTGAGGAACACAAGATATCCCTACATGTGAAGATAAAAAAACCCTATGTTTTGTTTCAAGAAAATTTATCTAAAACCTTAGAAAGCTTGAAGTATTAATTGTTTGAGGTAAAAAGCAACACAGTAATTAGCAGAAACTGTTCCATGCCGTAGATGACATTCACAATGAATTCATGTTGTACTACGCTCTTGCAGTTTGACTTTAAGGATGCAAACGATCCACCAAGAGTCCTGCAATGCTTAAGATACACATTAAAAGCAAAAACCAAAAAAGTAGCAAACTGATGGCACAGAGCTCAGACTTAAAGGACCTGAGTTCAGTTTCTACCATCATCAAAAGTTTCATGAGCTTGGGCACACAGAGTTATTCATGTCACCCACACAGAATGACTTCCCTTCTGGTTTTTGGCTTGTCTCAGCTACGTGGCAAGTTCACCCCATACAAAAGAGTGCTCACGGCTGCACAGACCTCATGGCAACATTCTGCCTTTAAAGAACAAATACTTTTCTCCTTTATTAACTTACCAATACTCAACTGTGATTTCATTTACTCCTGAATATTACAGTGATAAAGATTCATTTCAATCTGAGTAACTGCTCCATACAAAATAATTTCTATTATCCACATGCATTGCTCGCTCTCTCTTTCAGGTTGTTCATTCACTGAAATGAAGTTTCAGAAGAACATTGCTAAGAGGAATGCCTGATCCCCTACCAAAACCCCAGAGAGCAATACTGCTACATTGAATAAGCACAGTAATAAAAAGCTGAAAGATTTTTCTGGGCTTCTCTGCAGATAAAAAAAAAAATTACTACAAAAATCAAGAGATCTAGCTAAGAAGAATTCATTAGTCAACTTTCAGGCATCTACGACTCAAAAACATAAACAACATATACTGTCAGTAAAGACAAATTTCACACAGGAACAAATGAGGCATAGATAAATTAAAAGCTATTCTTGTCAAATCAATGTCATGAAAGGTATTGTTAACGTGTTTCGTGGAGGAACATGATCAACTATGTAGCCAAACAGCACAAAGCAGGATTTCAATGATGAGTGATGCTTTGAAGGGAAATCCCAAGCAAACTGATGCTCAGACAGCTCCACTGTGCTCAAGCAAGAGAAACTATCAAAAGGCTACTGGCAAGTCAGGGCACATGTACATAAACAGGCCTGGGAGCATCCTGAAAGAGGCAGGAAAACTGTACCACAGAGTATCATTTTTCTCTAGTACACTTTCAAAAAAGAAACACGAAGAACAGTCTGATCCTTTTTTTTTTTTTTCTATTTTTCCTGCAATTCACAATCCCTCTCCTAGAAGGGGGTGCAACCTAGTTATACCCACTAGAAGCTTCTCTTCTACAGCCCAAAAAAACTGAACTTCTTGAAAAGCCCAAATATTCCCCTCCTCTGCATGAGCTAACATAGCCTTAGCACTATGGGAGATGAGACTTCAGGTGCAGCTGAAGCCTCCTAGGATTTTCACACTCTTCCTATTCAAACTTGCTTATCATGAGAAAGCATCATCTCTTATCTAATAAATAAATTTAAAAAAAAAAGGACAGAAGCTGTTGCAGTAGGGAAGGGAGGGAATAGGGCTGGTCAAAGGTAGGCCACTGCTTCAGCTGCCTGCCAAAGTCCTCAGCTGTACAATGTCATTAGCTATTCAACCCTACAGAGAAAAAAAAAAAACAAACCCCACAGCTCTGGGACACAGCAGATTCCCAGGTACAACCTGACAGCTACCAAACCTTACCCAGACAAGCTCAGCCAGCATTGGGTAGTCCACACTCAGTCTTTAGCAAGTAAAACCACACGTGTGTTCCCCCACATCTGAACATCAAGGATATTACTGACCATCTGCTGCAAGACTTGGTTGCCACTGAATGGGCAACATTGAAAGCTGGGTCTTAGTCAGGTGGAAGAACATTCCTGAAACCAAAGCAATTAGGTCCTCTTCAAATAAAATTGCCACAAGCTACGCCAGTAAAGACTTCCCTGTATAGCTACATTCACCTGGCTAAAATTAAAGTTTTAAACACAAGCAGGACTTTATTAAAATAGACAGGTGATGACAAACTACAAATGTTAGTCTCAAATCACAGTGGGATCCTATGCACTACACAGGAATTTTGATTAAGTTTATCTCCCCTTTGCTGATTTCACCAATGCAGCCCAAATGTCAATACTATTATGAGAATCTTATAAACACAATTTATTAGTAGTGCAGACATCTCTAACTCGTTAAGCTTACCATTAGGACTCCAAATCAAAGGTCATTCCTGTAACATGACACTTAATTATGCAACTTAATGACATACAGTTAGAGGCTGAATGGGTATGTCAACAGGAACTAAAATATTCCAATATGGGAAACATTCTACACAAAATATCAGGGAAGAAAAAAAATCATAAAAACTGGTAAGAATGGAAGAGTTACTATTGTCACCAAGAGAAGTCAAACACTATTTTGAACCAGAATGTCACTTACCCAAAGACAAGATAAAGTTTATTTGTTCAACTCTCACTATTCACTTTTTTTGAAAGATCAGAAGAAATGTTTTAGTGTAATAGGGATTTTCTACTTGGGAGTGTAATTCCCCTTTTAATTAAAATCAAAGCATTCTGCTGTGATTGTATCATTCAGATGCACCTATCGGGAATCTGCATTGATAGTAAAGTAGTGATCCTGAATACATCAGGGAGAGATGCTTATCTTTACACATTAATCTTCAAGCAGGTTAGAGT